CAATGCAGTTGATCCGTCTATACCTCCACGACAACCCGGCAGCCACCGTGATCGAGCTTGCACCCGATCACGAAGCACTTAACCATGCGATAATGTCACTGATGCCTCCCGGAACCATTCTCCCTAGCCATATCAAGTATGCTATAGCAGGCACTGGTAGCGAGTCTGAGGACCAAGGTGCCACCAGAAATGTGATTGGGACGCCCTTCAACCTGGGCGATTTGGATGCCCCTTTGCCCGCAGACATTGCGGCGGCTGATTTGCTAGTCGTTCCGCAATCCGTCAGCAATCATAATGATTTGGGCGCATTACTGACTCGTTTGACAAGTCTTGGCAAGTCCGATGCAAGCCTGGTTCTCGCTGTGGACAGCAGTTTGGAGGCCTCTGCGTCTGTTTTGGAGGCTAAGGACTTCCGACGTGTCTTTGATGTTGAGAAGTCAGTGGCTCTGTACAAGAAACGGCAACCAGAGCATGCTAACGGCCACACTAATGGCCATACCAACGGCACATCTACCAAATCCGACTTGGTCATAATCGAGCCACCAGCTACAAATAGCCGCATCAACGCTTTCAGCAGTGCTCTGCAAATCACTCTCCGCCACCATGGTTACCCAGTGGTGGTGGCCAACTGGGCCGAGATCAGTGCCCGTGCAGCTACCGACCTCGAGGGCAATACATTCATCTCACTGTTGGAGCTTGAACAGCCCCTGCTGGACGCTCTCTCGGAGCCAGATTTCCACAATTTCCGCAAGCTGCTGCTGAACAGCGACCGCCTGCTCTGGATCACAGCCGGCGACAATCCGTCCATGGGTGTGGTCGATGGCATTCGGAGGACGATGAGGAGTGAGGTGGCCGGTCTCAAGTTCCAAGTCTTGCATTTGAGTAGCCTGGAAACCGCGTTACAGTGTGGTCCAGCCCTTGCAGCACGTATTACGACGACGGATACCAAGGATGATGAGTTCCAGGAACGGAATGGTATGCTACAGGTTGCTCGGATCTTCAACAGTCCCGAGGGAAATGAGGGTGTGCGCCGTTGTCTAGAGGACTCCGTTCGTGTCGAGCGGTTGGGGGAACAAGAGAGACCCCTAAGGCTGACGATTATGAAGCCAGGACTCATGGACACTTTGACGTTCATCGAGGATGATCGCATGAAAGATACACTTGGAGAGACAGAGATCGAGGTCGATGTCAAAGCAACAGGTGTCAACTTCAAAGACATCATGGCGGCCATGGGCCTAGTCGAAGTCTCCCTCATCGGCCAAGAAGCTAGCGGCATCGTCACGGCCACTGGTAGTGCAGCAGCCTCACGATTTAAACCCGGCGACCGGGTGACGCTTCTCTGGGAGGGCATGCATGCCACTAAGCTCCGCATCGACCACCGTCTTGCCGTGCACATCCCCAACTCCATGTCTTTCGAAGAAGCCGCCGCCCTACCAATGGTCCACACCACTGCCTACCACGCACTCGTCAACGTCGCCAAACTGCGCCCTGGCCAATCTGTCTTGATCCACGCTGCTGCCGGTGGTGTCGGCCAAGCTGCACTGCAACTAGCTGCTCACTTAGGCCTAGTGGTATATGTGACCGTTGGTAGTGAGGATAAGCGCCGTCTCCTGATTGAGAAGTATAACGTGCCAGAAGCGCATATCTTCCACTCCCGTGACACTAGCTTCGCCAAAGCTATCAAGCGCATCACGGACGGCCGCGGCGTCGACTGCGTGCTCAACTCGCTGTCGGGCGAATTGCTCCGTGTCTCATGGACGTGTCTCGCGCCCTTTGGCACGTTTGTCGAGATCGGGCTGCGTGATATCACAAACAACATGCGTCTGGACATGCGTCCGTTCAGCCGTAGCACGACCTTCGCATTCATCAACATAGCCAATTTCTTCGACGCGGAGGGTCTTGATGCACTGGGCCAGATCCTATCGGACGCCTTTGCTCTTGTGCATAAGGGAGTTCTGGGCGCAGCGTACCCGCTGACAGTGTACCCTGTTGCGGAGCTTGAGACGGCTTTCCGTACCATGCAGCAGGGTAGGCATCGTGGGAAACTAGTCCTCTCGTTTGGAGATGATGCTCAAGCACCCGTGCTCTGCACGGCTAAAAACAGCCTGACTCTCAATCCCAACAGCACCTATCTCTTTGTCGGCGGTCTCGGCGGCCTTGGACGCAGTCTGGCGCGTGAATTTGTTGCCAGTGGAGCACGACACATCGCATTTATATCCCGCTCTGGCGATTCCAGTGCAGATGCCAAAGCCACAGTCCAGGACCTCACCACTTTCGGCGCCGTTGTCAAAGCTTACCGTGCAGACGTAGCAGATGAACCTGCCTTCCTCTCCGCCATGCAACAATGTGCCACCGACCTCCCGCCCATCGCGGGCGTGGTCCAAATGGCCATGATGCTGCGTGACACTCTCTTCGAGAAAATATCTTACACGGATTGGACGCAACCCATGCGGCCCAAGATCCAAGGCACACTAAATCTGCACAATTACTTCTCGCCCACACACCCGCTGGATTTCTTCATCATCTGCTCCTCCATCTCCGGCATCTTCGGCTATCCAGGCCAGACTCAATATGCCGCCGCCAACACGTTCCAAGACGCCCTCGCCCGCCACCGTCGCAGCCAAGGCCTCAAGGGCGTGGCTGTCGATCTCGGTATCATGCGCGACGTTGGAATTCTAGCCGAGCAAGGCACAACCGGCAAACTCGCTGACTGGGAAGCCATTCTCGGAATCCGCGAAAAGCCCTTCCACGCGCTGATGAAGAGCCTGATCAACAGCGAGTGGAAAGGAGACTCGTATCCTGCGCAGGTGTGTACCGGCCTCGGGACGGCAGATGTCATGGCCCGATTCGGATTGGAGCGGCCGGAGCATTTCAGTGATCCGCGGTTTGGCCCTCTGAATGTGTTGAGTATTACATCTTCGTCCTCGTCCACAGACCAAGATGCCTCATCCGCTGCATCATCACCCTCCACACGTCTCGCTGCCGCGTCCACCCTCGATGAAGCCGTGTCAATCATTACGGATGCACTCGTACACAAGACGGCAGAGATCCTGCAGATGCCCTTGTCCGAGGTAGATCCGGGTAGGCCAATGTATCGGTATGGAGTGGATTCGCTGGTGGCACTGGAGGTCCGCAATTGGATTACTAGGGAGCTGCAGGCGAATATGGCGCTGTTGGAGATTCTGGCAGCGGAGCCAATGAATGTGTTTGCGGGGAAGATAGCGGAGAAGAGTAAGTTAGTTACAGGGAGAAAGTAGAAAGGGGGAGCGTTATGGATAGAAGAACAAGAATAATAGAGGTAGATCTGCACACGGCCCAGAGGCCGGCCCAAAGCCCAAATCGGCCTATTTAGCCCAAAGTGGGGTATACAGTATTTATATAGATCTTGGGTAATTTGCATAAATTAAAGATTCAGCCGGTGATGAGTGGAAACGCAAGGAACTTGGCTATGTGCTTTTTGCTATTAAAGCTAGTGCTATAATCAGATCCGTTCAATGGGCTCTATGGGCCGAAATTTTCAAATAAATTCAAATTGAATTAAAATATATAAAGATGGTGGGAGAGCAAAACCAGCCGCACTGATTGACTCGATAACAGTCACCCATTCACGATTTCCAGGCCGTAGAATTGCCCGACGACCATGACACTCGGCTCGAGTAACCACCTTTTGTGCTGAAATAAGGCCCATCGCGAATCCAGTCTCATCAAATTTGTAGATATCGTCTGATTGGATGCCGTTCTTATTGATCACATTTTGAACGGTGTTAAACCACTCACGTAAGACCTTTGGGCCCCTCATTTTGAGCACGTTAATAGTCGTGGCGTCTTGAGAAGCATGTTTGCAGCTCTTTTTGGCGATTGATAAGATTTGATGCCCAGTTTTTTCCAAATGTTGGTAGGGGGCTGTTTCCACGGTCGGCAAGTAGAATATTCGCCATTTCTCTCACACTTGAGGGCCTGGGCGTTGCACCGCGTGAATCCATTGAGAGTATCTACTGTACAAGCGATTCTTCTTCGAACTTAGTCAATTTATGACTATTGACGCACACCGGCGGCGGACTGTACCCTCAGATACGTTATATGTCTTGCCTGCAGCGCGAAGACTAGGAAATTGACCGCTTTGAAAAGCCTGAACAGCTAATAAGATTCGGCCCTCACGATTAGCCGAATCATGGCTTGATTGAGCGTGTTTTGGTGGCATGGTGGGTGGTTGAACATAGTGGGTACGTGAAGGGGCGCGATTGTTGGTGGGGCGCGTCACTCACTTGGGTGCGTCACTAGCTTGGGAATTACGTTAGTTAACGTAAGTCTCCTCACTGCATCGACAAATGTGGGAACAAATTTCCCATTCGCGAACCTCTCGTGCAGCAACGCGCTTATATTCAGAGGAAGTGAACAAACAAAGAAAGGCTGACATCGGCGAGGTAGAGCATCGGAGGTGAGCGATCAGAGCTGCTCAGGGCGGCAGTGTTACCGTCACCTCTTTTACATTATGGGTCTTTTCAGATAATCCCTCTCGAAGCAACACACAACGTTAGAATTCAAATCTAGATGGACTTCAACTCCCTAAACTCTATGCCTACAATGTTACAATGCAATGAAAACGTCGTATGTCAAATGCATTCCTTATGACAAGGAGAAATGCCATAGAAGCAAGACTAATATGTGTCACCATGTATCTATCCTTTTGCCTCACACCCGTATGTCGCCCTGTGCACCGGAAAAAAGCCCACGCAGAGATCGACCCCAGGTCCGAGGTCAAGAACAGAAAGTGAAAAGCAGAGAAGAACGCCAGAATCCTCAAACCCGCCCTAATATGTGACCCCCAGATAAATCAGTGTTACCGGCAGTACTGTACCACGCCGTGGAATCCACAAAGTCCCAAGACCGCCAGAATCCGCCGATAAAGATAACGCCAGGAATGTGCAGGAGATAGACAACGTGGCCGGAGCGCACGGAGAGAAAATGAACAAGGGAAAAAGAGCGTACGTGCCTGTCGTTTAGCCCTCGACCGTCTCTTCCTGTCCATCCACGCCTGGAAATACCGAGGACGGCGCTCGCCTTCCAGCACCATAGACCATCTCCATCAACTTGGCTTTTTGCCGCTCGCGTACCGATCGCAGGTAGTCGTATGTCCCCTCTAATCCACGGATCTGTCCATCGATGACAGCTTCGACCGGACCGAGCATGCGGCCTGCATTGGCGTTACCTGCTCCTGAAGAGCCCCCTTCCACGCCCATGAAGCTGACGGAGTCATTTCGCCGTACGAGTGGACTGACCAATTTCCGACGTAGCGTCTCCAGATTCACTTTGAGAGTGAGGAGACGACCACGATGATCGACGAGAAGGTGTTTGTTTGCGACAGTGCGACTGCGCACGTTGGCGAGGAGTTTCTTGTTCTTTTCGTATTTGCGAACCACCGCGGCGTTGGGACCTAGGACTCGCGTCCATAAGGAGCTAAGCATTTCGCCCTCCGCGCGTTCTTGGGCATCGGATTCGCGGACCACGGTGCGTTGAAGGTTGAGGAATTGGCGATCTATTGATTCAAAGAGGGTGAAGAGGGCGGTGGAGTGTGTCAGTTCGCTGTTGATGGATTCTTCGAGGACGGAGAGGAACTCGGTAAAGGTCCGAGTGAGAGTGGCCCGGGTCCGTTGGGCAGACGTTTGCCCGAAGACTGCCATCACGAGGTGTCCGAATGGGGTCGTGGTTGTGGATGCAGATACACCACCATCGACAACTTCTGCCGTGCGCTCCAGCGCCCCTAGTCGCGAGAGCATGTTGTGCACATTATCAAACACGATTGTCGGAAGAGAGCTGGGTGGTTGGGCGGAAAGAGTCTCCAATTCCCGTTTTGCCCAGTCCATCACAATCAGAATCGAATCGATGTCGGAGTCGACATTTGCGAAGAAGCGGGTCAGCTCCAGAGAGAGCGACTTGAGCGAATCAGATAGTTCATCTAGCTGGCCCACAATGATGGGTGCGCTGGTCATGTTCGTGCCTCGCACGGATTCGCTCAGGTCCCAGACAGCCACGCCGGTTTCCTGGAGGGTCCCGATCTGCTGGACGCCATTTTCGGAATAGTAGATCAAGGGCTCGAAGGAGCGCGCAAATCCTGATAGCTTCACCAGATCCGGAATCGATTGCGGGAGGCCTGGGAGGAATAGAGCACGCATGAAGGCCACGGAGATCAAGAGCACCAATACCGACAGAGTGGTGTTGGACTTGGAACTAGTAATGTGCTCGAACTTCCTGCGCAAGTAGCCGCAGATCGCGGCAATGGGTTCACGGTGCTGGACTTCTGCGCGCACTGCAAAGCGGATGTCTTAATCGCCATGCGCAAGAACAAGTTAGTGTTGTTCATGTCTGCAGGAGAAAGGAGGTTGCCCCCCTTCGGATCAGGCAGTGCCTACAGTTACTCAGATTCTCCGCTCCAAAGCCCAATCCGTCATCCTCGGGGCCCTCGCGAGTCGCGCCGGGACTGTGCGCCGGACCAGGGCTGGGGGATCGTCCTTTCTGTGGGGTGCCTGCTCCCATGGGCAAGGGCACATTGGCAGCGATGGTCACATCGCCTGTCTCGGCCTGTTCATGTGCTCTGCCCTTGGCGGGCCCTTCGAGCGCATCTTCATACTGCGGGCTGGCCTCCCGGGATGCTGCGGGCGAGGCACTCAGTCCAACTGTGGGCTTCAAGTCGGGTCGTTCGTGGATCCTGTTCTTGCGCGCATGCGCATATGGTTGATGGCGGTACCACCCACTGCCCTGGATGTAATCATGCTGTCGCAGACCAGGCGGCGACCAGCGCTCCATCCCGGCTGGGTCATCCAGCTCGCCGTCCGACTCTTCGGACCGGAAGCCCGAATGCTGCGAGGGCAGACCAAAAAGTGGAGATCGGTGCGCATTGCTATTGTTCTCAAAATCCTCGAGCGACGCATCCAGCGACGGATGGTCATCAAAGACGTTGTCCAGTTCGTCCAGCATGGCGGACGGCGTCTTGCGGTGTTGGCGCTTCAGGTCGAGGGGTCGCAGCGACGCAGCGCAGGCGTCCTTGCGACCGGGTTTCTAGGAGTGACCGAGGGTGGCTGGAAGAAATGGCTGTATGGGCGGTTAGTAGCAGCGCCCGGGCGTTCTTGGTTTGCGCTGGTGGTGTACGGGGTTGTCTGGCAGGCAGAACAGAGTGGCTGGAGATCAATCGACCCCGCGCGCCCAGCAGTTGCGATGCGACCAGGTGCGATGCGACAAAGGCGGTAGTGGGGGGTTGTTGTTTGGGGTCCTTTGTTGATGGTGGGTGGGGGGAGTATCGTCGGTATAGTTGAGAGGAGTTCAGTTTGCGTTCGACCTCAAGCAAACGAAGGTCGAGCCACGAGAAGCGCAAGGTGGTTTTCAAGGACGATGAAGCAGTGCGCCTCGTCGAGCAATGCGGGAAATCGAGGACTCCTCACCTGCAGAGGAGGCTGGGCCAATCACCCGGAGTCATGTGGTGTACATGGATGCCCTCGACGGAGCGGGTCCCCAGATGTACCGCCCAAGTACTTCAAAGTACTTCCAGACACAAACATCCCCCAGATCGACCTGGCGCGACCTAGATGATACCCAACCCCCGTGCCAGACCGCCATTGTGGCCCAATCGATGTGTCGCATCCCACTGAAACACGTCTGCATCCTCCGGTATGCTCTTGACTCGTTGCGGCCATCGTCCATTGTTGCAGTACTCTAAGGTACTCTCCTGCCGTGCCTTTGGCGCTGCTCTGCCCCCGTCGCCAACCCCTGCTCCGATCCTCCCCAAGCCCCGGCATGGGTCAAGGGGGCGTGGGGATCGACGCCTCCCCCGGACTTTGACCAGTACCTGCAGCGATGTGCAGAGGTGCAGCTAATTACGGCAGAAACATGTGAACAGAGAGAGAGGAATTCAAATCTATTGCGGGTCAACCTTTGGTAATCTCCATAAAATTACATGCCCGCTCCCTCGGATGCCCGGAAATCAGCCCACGGCGCCAGAAACCTATCCCAGGCGTCTATTTGTTCCAGAGACGGGGTGTGAGAGAACGAAGAAAATGCCGTGTGGGGTAATCGAAAAAACGTCAAGTCATTTAGGCAGTGGACTCCTTAAGGTAGCTGTAGAGAGCGAATTAGCAGTTGTTCTGCGCGGGAGCTAAATGGCGCTCTGGAGATTGGAGTATCGGAGAACGTACGTGATGAGGTCGTTGCGCTCCTTGCCCTTCTTCAGACCACCGAAGGCCATCTTGGTACCGGGGATGAACTTCTTGGGGTTCTCGAGGTACTTGAACTGTAAAGCGTAGACGGGTTAGCTGCGGTCTCGTTGCATGATGGGGATTGAGGGCTGCGTACCAGAGAGTTCTCGTCCCAGGTGACACCGGCCTGCTTGTTGGCGTCGGTGTAGGCGTAGCCGTCGGCCTGACCAGTCTTGCGGCCGAAGAGACCGTTCAGGTTGGGGCCGACCTTGTGGGGGCCGCCAGCCTCAACGGTGTGGCACTGAGCGCAACGGGTCTGCGAAATTGAATGTTAGCGTCAGGTTCCTGGAAATTCTGGGGATCTCGCGGGAGTATAAAGCTAACCTGGAAGAGCTTGGCACCCTTGGCAGAGTCACCTGGAGCAGGAGCGGGATTAGCGGTGCTGGTCCTGGTGTCGGTGGTAGCCATGGTAGCAGCTTGGGTTTTAGCCTTGGCCTTTTCGATAGCCATGTTGGTAGTAGCCTGGGCAACCTGAGCAGCAGCCTGAGTAGCCTGAGCAGCAGCCTGGGCAACCTTGCCCTTGGCTTTCTCGAGCTCGCCGTCGCGCTCCAGGATGGAATACATGAAGAACATGTCGAAAAGCGTAGTCATACTGACAGCCCGGGCACCGCAAGCGCGAGTCGGGAACGTGAAGGTATGGGTTGGTGTGTAAATGTGGTAAAGAAGGAGAGGTGCGATGTCGCAGAGGTTCGCTGAATATACGAAGCGAGTGGTGAGAGAGAAATGGATTGGAGTGTGTGCGTGCGATCGGTCTATTGCCTGGACAGCAGATGCGCGCCTCCCAGTGAATACTGTGACGGCACTTTCCGTGTCGGCGGCAACGACGGCGATGGCAGAAGTGACCACCGCCAGCCAGCGCCAATGCCACCTTCACATCACTTCTCTCCAATCTCACCGACAGTTTACCCTGAGGCATCGCATCTCACTCCTCTTGTTTTATTCCACCTCCGGTCAACACAAACACACCAACCGCACCCTGTATCCACGATTCCGCGCAAACACGCTCGCGAAGGCAGAAAGGGAGGCTGGCTACCATGGTCAGGGAGCGAGAGGGAGCTTACCGGGAGCGAATGAAGCGTCCTTGCCCATTGTGAATGGTATATATAGGGGTTTGAAGGGGAATTGGAGACTGTACAGGAGATGACAGAGATGCAAGTTTTTCCCAGAAACAGTTTTCGCATTTGTACCGCGCCCCCCGGCTCCCGTGATCCGCCCGTCGGCCAATCAGCGCGCGGCTAATTCAACATTGCGGGCGCAACCGGGACACTTCGGTGAGTTCTCCTGTGCTCGAATGCTCTCGACGACCCTGCACAACCGCGTACAGACACTCGGGACGCACACAGAAGTCTCTAACTACGAGTATTCCGTTCGATGGCACTTCTACAATCGCATTGATCCTAAACAGCCCACGCCGACTCCTCCGCAGAGCCTCCGAGACTTGAACTTGCCATGATCTCATGCCTCATCATCCCCGACCTGTTCGACAGGGTTTCGCCCCTGGTCCTGTTCCCTAAATCCAGCCTCGGCCTACTTGCCACCCTCCGACATATCATGAGGGACCGCGATACGATGGGGGTGGTTTGTACGCCCCAGTGTCCAGTCCTGTATTCTGTGTAGGGGGGATAGGCACCCGATCCCCTTGACCCCCTTGACTGGAAGCCTTTCCGGTCCACCGGGGCTTCGAAATACGCACTCCATTATTCGCCCAACCGATCCGCTTTCCCGGATTGGACCCGGTTGTTGTGGATCCTCATGGCCAACTTTTTTTATCCTGTGGTGGACAGACTTCTCGTTGAGAGCTCGGGTCGCCCAGGACTACTATGGGCAAGCCTACGAGGTAGAGACCACTGTTGGGACCGGATAGGGGAACTATAACCGCGTGGAGATGAGCATCGTGCCATTGTGGATGTGACCCTCGGATTCGTAGACTGTAAGAAGCATTGCCAATGCCAATTGTAGACAGATCGCGGCTTGCCCTGGGTTCCAGTCCATCTGCATATCCGGTTAAAAGCCAAAAACTTTGTGGTTCTGCCGAGGAATGTAAACGGCGCGCCTGCAGGCTTCGCGGCCCGAGACTCTGCGGTCTGCGAGGCGCGGCCGGCGGTGGGAATACGTCACGTGACATGGAAAATCCCGACCGGGACAAACAGTGCCAACATCTTCCGCCTACCTCGAACAGCAACGCTCGGAAAGCTTGTGCCATATCATTCGAGCAAAGAGGCTCAACAGACTGGTGAAGCTATCGCCGCCATGCCTGCCACTCCAATTGCCCCGTTTCTCCTTCCTCGGGGTCTCCCCACTGCGCGGACTTTGCGCACTCTCCAGCAACATCAGATCGGCCTCCCCACCCGTCGCGCAGCACCTCACCAATGCTTCTCCTCCACGAGTCCGGTTTCGAAGGCTAAGAACGTCGACAAGAGCCGTACTCTGGCCCAGCCAGACAAATTCCGTCCGCCTTCGCATCCGCAGCGCCTCGTCAACAAGCGCACATCGCCCTCTGGTCAACCGATCAACTATGGCCCGCGCCTGACACCCGAGCAGCGCGAAGCGCAGAACAAGAAGCAGTATCCAAACATGTTCCCACCGGAGGGAACAGTCATGCACAAGTTCCTGACAAATCGGTGGATCCACGTATGGATCGCAATGGTAAGATCCGAGCCTTCGCCAAGCCTTTGGAAGAAAGCCCCAACTAACGAGACCCAGGGCATCCTCACTTCCCTCGCAACCTTCACTTTCACCACCAACTTTAAAGCCAGCTCTCCCTTCGCCCACCTCCTCCCCTCCTGGTCCGGTCTGTTGACCGCACCCTTCGATACCATCTCTCAAGCCCTGCACGTCTACCGCATGGACGTGCAGCACAACTCCATGCGCGTGCGCGAGCAGCGTCACCGTCGCGTTGAAGATGCCGAGAAGCGGAGACAGTACCGTCTTGCACATGGGCTAGAGGAGCCGACTGAGAAGGGTCAGGCGAAGGTTGATGAGCAGTCGCCTGTTGCTGTTGAAGGCGATACGGCGCAGGTCAAGGAGGGAGAGTATGTGGATTGGGACGGAAAGAAGAAGCCTGTCAAGAAGTGGCTTGGTATTTGGTAAATCCACTTCACGTTGAATGGTTTGGACATTGGCATTCATGAGCCGGTAATCCAACGCTGTAATTCAATCTGGCATTGGAGCCACTGGCATACAATGCATATACAACATTGCCTAAGATAGGGCGTCGAAAATATCCTAAAATACCTACGCATACCCTACTTTATCTGTACTATAGATTTTACGTGGAAATATCCGACTTGGGTCATGATCATGAATCGCCTCTCATTTCTTTGCAAGATGTGGTATTGGAAACAAGCCTCATAAAGAAAACGCCGGAACCTTGAAGTTTTGGAGAACGTAGAAACCAGATCACTCCACCTCAACACCCTCCAATCCCTCCAACACATCCTCACCAACACCACCCTTCTTCAGCACGGTCTGAACCATATTCGCAATCACGCTGCGCTTGATACCACCACGTCGAGGGCGCCACACGCCCGGAACCTCCTCTTCGCCTGTAACCGGGTTCAGAACCGCGATATCTTCCGTCGGGGCAGGGGCACCAAGCATATTGACATTCTCAGAGTTAGGCACAGCGGGTTGGGTAAGACGGGAAGGCGGGTCGATGGTGCGAATAGAAAGAAGCTTCAAGCTACCAGCTTCGCTATCGCGCGTCAAGGAGATGGCGAGGACGGCGTCCGCAACAGCAATTTCTTCTCTGTTTGGGTCGAAAATGACATTTTCGCCGACGGAAATTACAAGCAGAGTCACTGGTGGGCGAACATATTGTGAAGGAAGCTTGGTTTTCTGGCTCGAGATGCGCGGGTAAAGGTATTCTGCAACAGCCCAGTCATCGTCGAAGAAGGGATCTTCTTCACCTTGCGACTTCAACTTGGGAAGCTTGGTCGACAAAAGTGCAAGATGTGTTGTCAAAGACAGCAGGGGAAGCGGATATGACAGCGGTTGGGACAGGAGCAGAACCTAGATATAACGTATTAGCATAGTTCCCAATATTATAGTGTCGCGATCCGGAATGGAGGCACAACTCACATCAATATACAATCGCCAATGCCACCGTTTATTAATGACCAATCGACCCTTCAATCCACCAGCCATCTCGGCCGCATCGGCCGCATCGGCCTTCCCACTTCCCTCCGTAACAGAACCAACCAACGACTCACGCATCATCTCCGATAGAAAAACAGGCAGCGCATCGTCGTCCCGGAACCCGGGGATTTCAATAGACATCTGTACCCAGGACCCATGACCCGACACAGCAGCCGATCCTTGATGTTCCTCCGAGTCGTTAACATCGCTCTGCGAGGCAAGCGTATCAGTCGCCAGATTCGTCCTCTCAACCTCCGCCTTCACGCCGACGATCGCCTGCGTCCCGTCCGCAAACCCAATCCGGGCGCTTCCATTTGTGCCAGGGAGAATGTTTGACTCAGCACTCAGCGGTCGGAACTGTGTCGGTGAGCGGCCATCAGGGCGGATGGGCGCTCTTGGGAGCGAGAGTGAGGTGTAGAGGTAGGAGAGCTCGGCGGGGGACAGGTGCGGGGTTTGCGAAGCTGATGAGGCTTGTCTTTGGTTGGACATTTTGCCAATGCAGTCAAGAGGTCGTTGCCGTCTTGTCTGATGTACCGCGTGCTCTGCAAGCAGCTCGAGACCGCTGCGGTGATTTCGTGGATAAGTTGGTGCTGGCCGGCTTGGTGAATCGCAGGGTTTTTATTTTCTATTTTTAATTTTTTTGCGGGCCGGTTTTGGAGGAAGGAGTCCGGTCGCGCGACTCCTTAGATCTGTGGGTAATATTCGACGCCCAGCGAGGTTTCGCGATCGAACTTGCGGATATCAATTGCGGCGGGAAAAAAGTGAAGATACCTTACAGAGCATGCTTGATTGGGAAATGCGGGTGACGGTGGATTATTGTTCTTCCGGAGTAATCAGGCGGGTGTACACAACTGAGAGGTAACTAGACATCATACCTTCAGGTAGGGAACAGCAGACGAAGTCGACTTCAAAAACACGATACAGCAATGACCAAAGAAAGGCGGAAATTTTCATTAACCCATTTCTCTTCTTCGTTTATCGGCAAAAACTACGTACTCGTAGTAAGCAACCTCACCGCTACAGCTTACTCACCGCCTGATGTGCAAACGGGAAGCCTTGTTGAAGTAGTATCTTATTGTCAGGTACACTCCTACTCGGGTCTAGTAAAACTGCTATGTTGAATATGAGAATAAATCATTGACATTATGCCTTGTATGTAGGGTACATTCGAGCGTCCTGTAAAACAGAGTAATCTTGTAGCCGGTCTTGCGCCGCGAATTAGATTCGAAGCTGACACGCAGATCGACAAGAGAACTGGTGCATCGAAAGAGGAAAATGATTATCTCAGAGTATGCGGGGATGAATTTCATGGCAACTGTAGTAGTATTATGTATGTCAAATGTATGCGTATGTAAGGCATATGCCGATTGATGCTATATTACAATGTCAAAAGAACTGGAGTCCAGCCAGTCCAAGCCAGGGGCAAGATAATACACGAAAGAGCGGACAGGAAGACTGGAGCAGAGGATGCAGGAGTTGGATAAGGACAGAGATTGACAGGATTGGCAGTTGAGACAATGTACAGACGGATGAGAGACAAAGTATATAGACAAATGAAAAAGAAAATCGCCATATTCATCGAAAAATGACTCACGAAGAGAGAGAGAGAGAGAGAGAGAGAGAGAGAGAGAGATGCAAAATGTAGGGAATGGTATATAAAGCGGCTTGCGCGTGTGGTATCAAATGAAGATGTGCCAAAAAGGGGTGGTGGATGAAGAATGAGCAACGCCGATGTAGATAAGTGAGAGGACACCAGGGGTAAATGGAAAAAAAGTGCGAGGCCAGTATCATCTATCAAAAGGGCCTATTGGGGTATGAAAAGAAGATGGGAAAATGTGAAAGAAACCTTTCGCCGAGGTGAATAAAAAAACAAACCCAAATACCTTCGAGCAAAACCAGAACCAAAAACGGCCAGACCTTGAGAAAAGATAATCCGAAACCCATACGCCTAGCCCGGTTTGTGTCCGTTTTTGCGCATTCTCCGAGATTTTTTTTGTTGCTTCTCAATTCGAATGGAGAATGAAGAGTGTGGTAAATGTTCAAGATCGAGAGGGAACCGTCGTTCAAATGTAGTTGGTTCCGGAAGAGAAGTATTGCGAGGAAGCCTTGTGGTTCCACTCGCTCTCCTCATAGGGGGGAGTTGGCCATTGGCGGTTGGAGTTCGGGTCTGACTTGGGAATGTGCTGTTGTCTCACAGGGGTGTCAAAGTAGCTATCGGCCTTAGCTGTAGGCGAGGGAGTAGGATATGGGCTCGGCAATGCGCGCGAGTTATCCGTCTGGCGGTGAATCAAGCTAGGAGACTGGGCAGCCATCGACTGGGGTTGCGCCAGGCGCTTCGCCGCCTTGCTGGCAGAGTGGAGCACCTCGTCCAACAGCTCGTCTTCCTCCTCAGGAGTCTCGTAGCGGTGAACAGGGTGGCTCGTCATCTGCAGAGCACGCCGTGTTCTGCTCGAGTTGGGCGCCGGGTTGCTGGTAGTCTGGGGCATAGACTGTCGCTTGGTGACATTGCTCTCCGAGTTCAGATGCACCGGGACATTGCTCAGGGTGGACGAGTCCAAAGAATACTTGACACTCTGCAGAGCTTTGTCCAGCTCACTCAGGTCAGATTGAGGCTTCGGTTCTGCAACATTAGCCCCATCAAGAGCCATAGAAGAGCGATTTGACCAAGGGATGCATCCAGCGTTAGCTTCGATATCATCACTGGCGGCATTGGCTTGGTTGCGTCCCGACAGTCTACGAGCACGCTTGCGAAGGTGAGAGAAGAAGCTCTCCTTCGTAGTCGGCGTAGTGTTCCCAGAGCCATTCAGCATGCGCTCCGCCTCCTGGCGGTGGGCATCCGAGTAGTGGTTGCCATTCGAGTTGAGAGATAATTGGCGGCCAATCTTCTTGTTCTTGGAGGCCTCGGCCTCAGCGGGCTTTAGTGTCTCGGTGTGAGCCACGGTCGCGTTAGCCTGGGCAGTGACAGAGTTGGAGAGCGGAGACACAGGGCGGATAGAAGGCAGAATAGGCATGGGAGCACCGTTCGCCCACGTCGCGCGCTTGGTGTTTCCCGGGCGTATCTTCGCAGGCTGGACCTCAGGGTTTGTATTATATGAAACCGCTGGGGGCCTGGCAGGGCTGTCTCCTTCAGCACCAGGAACTGGGCTTTCGGAGCGTCCAATGAGGGATCGGCGGAACCACGAAGACTTGGTAGAGAGGGTCGGGGAGTCGTTGGGGGTGAGGGTCGGGGACTTGAAACTTTTCTCGGACTGCTTGCGGCCAAGCAGTCTCGCGGATGTCGAGGACTTGGGTCGCAGGGGGTCGACCGCATCGGCAAAGTACTCGTGGTTCATCGCCTGGGTGCAAGTCGGACGGCTCTTGGGATCCCACATGAGACACCAAGTAACAAATTCGCTCAGAGCCACGGGCCAGATCGAAGGGTTCAGGACGCTGTCCATCGAGTGCGGAGCCATCTTGGGGAACTGGAAGCCCAACTTCTGGGCCAACCGAGATCCTTCGCGCCATTCACCACCACCGATCTTGGCTCCCGACTTGCTGTACCAGTTGCCAGGGCTTCCCATAATCTCGCATACACGCCACACTTGATCCACCTCGTTTCCTCCGGGGAAAAGCGGCTTCAAGGTCGCGATTTCTACGGCCATGGCACCCACGGCCCACATGTCGACGGGGGCAGAGTATTCCCCAGCTCGCAAAAGCACCTCGGGCGCCCGGTACCAGCGGGTGGAGACATAGGTCGTGTATGGTTGTTTGGAGTGAGTCTCACGGGCGAGACCAAAGTCGGCAATCTTCACGGTATAGGTGGGAGGTGTTGATGGGGGAGTCACGAGGTTAGAGTAGCGGCTGAAGGTAGAGTCGGTGGAGGTAGAGGTAGAGACGAGGATGTTTTCGGGCTTGATATCACGGTGGAAAAAGTGATGGGCGTGGATGTGGTCCAGTCCGGACAGGATCTGATAGAGGATGCTCTTGACATGCTTGCCTTCAAAGTACTTGTGATCGCGGGCCTTCATCAGTTGATAGAGGTTGCCATCCATGTACTCCATGCAGATGTGCAGTTTGCGGGATAGAGGGTCGAGGAAGATGTCGAGGGCGGGGACGAGGTGCGGATGCACAGGCAATGTGCGAAGGAAGATGACTTCACGGAGTTCCAGGCACGGGCCTAATGAGTCGAAGGTCTTCTTCATCGTCTTGATCGCAACCTATGATGCAATAGTAGGTTAGTTATGGGGCACTATTGTCTCGCACGGTGCTGGAGTCGGTTCGACCGCCATAGAGAGTGGTTCCATACCATCGTTCCGCGGCGCGCGATATGGGATCCGGCGGTCCGGACCCGGGCCACAGCGACGCTTCCAAAACTCCCATCGCCCACTTCCTTCATCACTTGGAACCGGTCTTCGAGGGTCGCCATTGATGTGTGGGACCCTCGAGCGGGAGAGTCGTATGTGACAGTCATGGTGGTGTGCGTCTCTCCCGATCTGCCAGCAGATGAAGAGGATAGTATCTGGAAGGAGCGGGCCATGGTTAGCGTCAGGCGCGACATGCGCTGGCGGCGTATGCTGTGTTGACCAGAGCATCTTTGGCTGGGACTCACAATTAGAGGGGCTAAGCGCTTCCCGGAGAGTATAATTGCAGGAAGGAAATCAATTGGGACGAGTGTTCATCATCCGAAATGCAGAGGTGAGTAAGGAGGGAACTTCTCCCATTAAAGATGTAAGGAATGACGGAGTAGTTGGAAAGGAGGGGGTTGGAGGGGGAAGAGGTTCTCTGACTGGGCCAAAGAACGGGCACGAAGCAATAAAAAGGAATTCCACCCAGAATAGGAGAGGACCCGTTTAGGGTGGGCACTCGAGCGATCGGAGGCCAAGGAAGCCCCTGACGCGCTGACAGCTCGAAGCTCCAGGGCGGCGCCGTGGGGACGGTAAATTAACCACGTTAGGCCGGCGCAGATCAGTCCACCCGGCTCCAGATGGGGGTCTGAAGGATGTGCAGAAATTGACTTTGGGAATGTTCCAAACTGGTAGTAGATGCAATCGTGGTAGATGGTAGATGGAAGAGAAATCGAAGGAGGAAGGGGGAGGGTAGAAAAGCGAGCACGAGGTCGCGAGAGGGGAAGTGGGCATTGCAGGGACTATTGAAGGTCCATACGGGGTCGATGAGGAACCCAAATGGAAACCACATCAAAAAAGACCAAAAAGACCAAAAAGACCAAAACGACCGAATAGCGTGAAAATAACGGGTTGCTCCCGCGGTGATCCAATGGGACGCCCGCTGTGGGGTGTGCCTGGTCACATACGGTCATCGTACGGTACAAGTACTTTTCTCTGTTTACTCCGGCGTTTCTCATTTCTCATTTCCAGTTGTGCATCTCATTTAGTGTCTCATGGCGATAGAAAAAGAAAAGAAATCGCAATCTAATAGTATGGGAGGGGGCTCGAGGTTCGACACGAGAAAAGCAATACGCCCACTCGGTAGCTCTCGTGTGCGAACGATCGCCATGAACACCACACCTCACCACCTCAGATGCATCCCTCCCATTGCCGATATTCGCGCGGCCATCCTATAGGAAATCCGGCGGGCGACCCTCTGCACGCGCCTAATAATGAGGAGGTTGGGCATACACCGCGCAGCCTGTCGCGGGCGCCCACGCAGCCCTGTTAGGGTCGGGACGCGGCCCCCTCCAGTTGGGCCGCGCTGGTACTCCGGAGTACTGGGAGTAGTATGTACGTTACTGCGTACTCGACTGTACCGACGGGAGCGCGGTCGCGACACTCCTCGACTATGGACTTCGACAGTGGACAGAACATTTTTGGTCGTTAAGAGGCACAGCAATATGTCATAGGTCATATAGTACCTTTGGACATCGCTCTCGCTCTGACAGTGACAGATCAGCTCCCCAGCCGTCCGGTCCCAGCTCTCGGGTCGAGGGTGATCCTCCGACAATGTCATTCTGTTCGCAAAGCCCACAGTCTGGCCCAGGCCGGCCCGCAAGGAGAATCCTTCCTGCACCGATGTCTGTTAGGTCATGTCCTACGTTGGAGATCGGGGCCTGGTCGCATGGATGCGAACGGCAACGCCTCTCCCCTGTTCCTGTTCCACTCCGGGTTTGTTGATCCGGTTGACCAGGCATCCTCCTTCTCGCCACCTGATCTCCATCCGAGCGTTCCTGGGGGAGGTGTGGACTGCACTATGGACCGTAGGGGAGCAAGACAGGAGGATTGGCCTCCGACTGGTCCGGATGGAGTCGAATGACCTACTGAACCTACATACGGTAATTTCGCTCTCCATCTTTATTTTACGAGAAGCTGGGATTTGACCAAGATTCGACGAGGGCCTGCAAATTAGGTTCGGGGACACGGAGAGACGCGGAGGCGTTGGCAGTCTCGACAGGCATGGAGTACCTTATCCAAGGCAGTGAAAGTAGAGTAAGCTTAAGCCGGGCCACCGGCATGGAACCCATCGTCCATCGTGCATCTGATGGGCTGCCCGCGCCCCGTCGCGCCCTGTTCTTTCTCTGTCATCCTCACTGGCTCGCGCGCTCAAAAAGAAGAGAAAAAAAAAAAAAAAAAAAAAAAAAGGCTGGTGACACCGCGATCGTGTGTCCTCTCGTGGCCCCCCGATTGGGAACAGATGGCGAACCCTGATTCAGGTTGCACGGTCAACCTCACCGCGCAATCTCACGATGCAATCTCAACGGCGCGGTAAATTGTTGGACTTGTTGGAGATGAGCCCCAAGTGGGCTGTTTTCTTTGTTCGGAAAAGGGCACTACCGCCCAGTCCCCGGTCTAGTTCGTCTCACGTATCGATGAGCAGGCGATTCAATACGCCGGCGCATCCCTTCATGACGACCGTTGATGCGAATCCCTGCTCGGCGCCGGATGTCGCCCGGTGGACGGCAGACTGGTAAATCATAATCATCATCTTCATCGATTCTCGTCTTTTGGGGATTGGGTCTGCTCGCTCCACATCCCAAGCTCCAGGAACCCGAGGACACAGACGCGGGCGATCGGTACAGCGGACATGTCAGACGGCGAGAGGGCAGGGGATGATCAATACGAGGTAATCGATTGTTACCTGCAGCGGGATGAAATGCACCTGTCAGACCAGACGAACCCTGGGGCGGCCGTTTGGCCCGCAAGGATGCACTCCCGGATTGCGTTGCCCCATGTTTCTAATTTCATCCTGGCTCGGTTCCTTCGGGGCCGCGTCCGCAACAGTCGGAGGATACTGGATACTGCGACTCGCGACGCCAAATGAAAGGGGGGTGGCGGTTACTCGAACCGCCCTCCAGCCCCCTTTCCTTTCGATCGCTGCAGAAGCTCGAGTCCGGCAGAGTGGGTGACCCTCAAGGGCCGTACCGAATGTACCGATTTACGGCGGACGCATCCATGGATTAATTACGGGCGGACCCATGGGAAGCTCGAGTCGCGACTCCACACGCGCGACGAGCAGAGAAAAACAAAAGCTTGGGCATCACCACAGGTGACGAACGAGGGTTCCACGTCGACACGGAATGTGTACACATCCGTACGCGGTGTGTACAGTTGCATACGCCACCAGTGAGGGGGGCAATACCAGTACACACCTCCAGACCCCCAGTAAACCACCGCGGGTATGGCGAGACTGGAGACACCACAGTGCCGGCGAGGTACCAATGGCCAGGATCCTAGTGCGATGGAGCCGACGCGCCTCCGAGTCCATTGGGAGGGACATTGGTTCTCGTTTTTGTGGGCAACAGCACCAAGTGGGCTTTGATTCATGCAACACCTCAAAAGCCCTCCGCTGTGAGCGCGGTGATTGCTGCGCATCGCCCACCAGTCTCCAGGGAGTGGGCCTAGCGCTGCGCGGTGCGCCCGGGGGACGACGGATGCTCCACTGCTGTGGACCTCGTCCAGGCCCGTCCCTCCTACCCGAGGCCACCGCGGCCACCTGTGCGCTGGGAGATCGCTGACTCCCCAGGGGGCTATTTGCACCCGTTCCCAAAGTCCCGGGAGGCGCCGTCGACTTCGGTCGACCTTCGAGAAGCTCAGTCCTGACCTCCATGTCCACTGGAGTCCTCCCGCCGCGTCGGGCTCCTGGACGGTGCGCGTTTCCACACCGATCGCCTCCTATGCTCGTCATCGGGAGCCCCTATGTTCCAAATTGCCAATGGATTTATGATTTATCATCCTATCATCCATTATTAGCACGAGGCAGACTGACATTGCCACCGGCTTCATCCACTCGTCCCCAGGGGGTCACCCACATAGTTCGCCTCACCAATTGCCCTAGATGCCTTGTCTTTACCTAGTTGCGGCACTCATACGAGAAAGGGACACCAGAACTTGGAATTGCTCCAGGCTAATTGACCTAAACTCGGTGCTCCACATCAGACGCCGAACATAACATGGTGGTTCTCGCACTCACACACTCGCCCACACACGTCCCCCTCTCTTTATTCAGGACACCGGCAGCCTCAGGGAGCGTATCACAATGCCATCCACCCCCTTTCCCGCATCGATCGGCCAGTGCCCACAGCGCAATGCCAGATCAATGGTTGGCGATATCTAGTGCCCGGGAAACTGCACGAGGCATCTCGGGTCGGGTCCCACTCTCCCACTATCACTGGAGTAACCTAGCCTCTTATTCGACGCTTTAGCCTTTCTGGAAGGTCCTTACCACGGTTCTATGGAGGTGGGCAACTGACCTGCGTGGCCTCTAGACCCTCTCCGGAGAAGGTTCCCTGCCATGTATCTAGAGCAGGAGACGGGGTCGGCTAGTCTATCTCTGACTCTAGTCCTGGCTGTGTTGCACCCGGCCCCCTGATGTTCGCGGAGATGAACCTTCTGGAAGTCTGTCATCCCGTCTTCTCGGATCCAATTGAATATTGCCGGTGAACTCTATTGTGGACTCGTCGTCAAGGAAACTGACGAGATTATCCCGTGTGCGAAGGGCGTGTGGCTAGGGTCGACGCGACCATGGCCTCTGCCAGCATCCGTTCGGACATTTTACCCGCTACGCTAGGGGGATCCCTGGAATGGGGTGCGATTGTGTGCATTAACTCCGTGGATCTGGCTGAGCGTGGCTCATCTTGACCCTGAGGGAGACAGGGGAAAACATTTGGTGTAGCTGTTTGATTCACCATGCACAATGACACAATGCTATTCTTGGCCATTCCTTTCATACTCTACCTTGCCTCTAAGAATTATCGTCAAGTGAAATGCTCAGAGTGAAACGTGCTGATATACTACCCGAGGGTAGGTGCAGCAAACATCCTGCAACACAAAGACACGACTTTCTACGACCCTCGCTTGTCTTAAAAGCCTTCTACATTTGAGCCAAACCTGAGCCAAGTTTGATTGAATAATGTTGACATTTGTGAATATATCACTCACTCGTCCTTCCAGATCCCAGAATTGCACACTACATTAATATATATATTCAATGCGCTCATTATTCTTTCATTTGCCCACCATAGACAGTTCCAGAAATCTGTTCAAATTCCTCGCCATATAGCTCCCCTGGTCTTTATCTCACAGACCGCGAACGACAACTTCAAACAAGAACCGCTGAGGCGAGTGCTATCGAATATCGTCTCTTCCGGCCTGTTTGCTTCTCGCCCTCTCCCAGAATCAGTGGTAGAGTATCTATCGCCGTCAATTTGCTGCCGACTTCAACCTCACGGTGAATCTCAGAGGCTCGGCGTTGCACTGTCGGCGCTACAATGCATCTCCCTTTCCCCAACGTTCCTGGAGACGCTTCTCTTCCTCGAGCTTAAATCCTCATCCTGAAGCAGGTCCTCTTCCTCCCAGATTCTCTCCCTTCCATCTCCAACCAACCATCCTCTTACTCATTTATCACTCTGACACTCTACGGAAATTTTCTCTCGAGCATATACTACGAACAACCACCATGCCTCCTCTGGAGCCAGTTCGACCTGCCGACGGCGGCAGCTTTTACCTCGCCAAACGGGGGTGAGTACACCCTCCGCAGTTGTTCTCTCTATCAGCTCCAGCTCACTAACTCTACCAGAATTGAGACGATCCAGATCCCAGAATGGTCAGTATACCCTCGCCCTCACTTACATCAGAGCAATGAATCTAACTTGCGCAGGATCACTTGCTCACAGTGTGGAACCCGTCGAACCGTGGCCTGGTACTCGAAGAACGCACTCGCCCGACTCCGACGCCGAATCTATCGAGATGGCCAACACATCCTGGACTATCCGGACACCATCCGTTGCACCGAATGCATCGACAACCGCCTCCAGTACGAGAGAAAGTGCAAGATCTGCGGCGAAACAAAGGCTCTCGATGAGTTTGCGCGCGCCCAGCGCCGATACCCCGAACCCGTGAGTATTCATGTCCATGATCTTTGACAGGGGCTAACACTGCCATAAATCTCAACAGACTTGTGCCTCGTGTCAAGAATGGATGCTGACCGATAACCATGCATACAATGCCCGCGATCGAGAGCGTACCGTGCGGCGATGGGAGGCTAATAGACTGGAGCAGGAAAGACTCCCTCGCGGCCAGCATTCCCATGAATCTGTCAAGGATCATGCACCGCGCCAGCCCCGGCAGCAATCGGATCACTACGACCCCACCAGTGTCTCGTCGACGACTTCCCGGGCTACCTCCCTTTATGATTTCGTGGATGTTGCGGCTTCTGGACGGTCCTTTTCGATGGCAGAGCTTACGGAGCGTGATAACGCCTCGTATATCCGGGACGAGGAGCTGCTCTACTCGAATCGATCCATCCCGGGAATGGTAAGTTGCTTCATTTGTGATGGATTCGGAATAGTGATTACAGACTTACATATCTGCTACTACAGGATGAACAAGACTACATCTTGAACGATACGGACGACTTTCTGCTAGACGATGACTCCGACGAAGAACCCAAATCTTCACAAGCCTTTATCCGGAAGGGCTGGCTGCGAATTCCGGTAAGTATAAACCAAAGTGGTTTTCATAGCATGGCTAATCATGGAAATCAGCCTACTCGAACCCGCGCCTTGGCTCAAGAGCCGCCGTCGCCGTCGCCGCAAACTCGCGCGCAGTCTGAGACTGGCCTTCTTCTTGAGATGGGCACGCAGTCCGAGATGAGTACGGAGACTGAGACCAACCCGCAGTCTGGAGCTGGACCTCGGCCTGAACATATCGTGGAGCATTGGGTCAGAGTCGATCCGCAGCGTGAGAGCGTGATTGACACGCAGTCTACCAATGAGAAGCACGACTGAGTACCTGGCCCAACCGTGAGACTCCGGAATTATCGATTGCTTGCTGAATATCCATGACATGACGTCGAGGTGAATTTGCAGATTCTCTGGTTTCTGATTTTCATTTCTCAACATGGTTGCTGGCTATGGTTTCGGTTGCAAGTTCTCTCGTTGCTATTTCGCAGGGTTGATTCCGTTCCCTGGGTCAGCCCCGGGAGGTGCCCATGGTTCAGCGATGACATCGGGGGTTCCGTTCCCCACTTTCCACGCTTTCGTCTATCAAAACAAACATTTTTGATTTTACCACGCAGTCGTTATCAGTGATCTAGGCTAGTTTGATATGCGTGCTATTTTTGCAAAATGAAACCATCGTCATGTCTCGACGTTCCAACCGTATATTAGTGCCGTGTCCGAAAATATATATTCGCCCCTCGCCCCCCCCAGGCGCTATAATTAGGCCCGCTATCGCCGCGGTCTCATGCTGGTCTCACACTATAGCACCGATCTGATGGATTCGAGGATGACTGATGCTTGATACCTCAGACAGCTCCTCGGGCACTTTCTCCTTACTGGCTAGCGTCAGATGATGCCATGTGCTGCATGCCAACAATGGCAGCGCGTGGCCGCACCGACCTGGAATGCGGAGCCAACTGTCGGCTTCGACAGTGCAGATGCCGCGACATGTGCGAGAGATGAAACCCATCGCTGGCAGCTAAGATAGGCGAGGCAAATCGTAATCGACGCAGGCATCGCATGGAAGCTGCAGTCTTTAGATTGACCTGTGCCGATCATGACGCTCCCGGCCCGCCTGTCGATATGACATCCTGAACTATTGTGGCACCTTAATATATTAAATGCGCCACACCAAATCTTTGTGACGTCGAGCTGGCTGGAGTACGTCCGGGGGAAGGCTTCGTCAGCGGAGGGCTGGAAGGGAAACCGTTGCACCGGCGCGAGCAGTGACGCAGTTGTGTTTGGGATCGCCACTGGTTTCCCCACAGCATCTGGGAGCCCCTCCGTCGCTGAATTTCTCTACCTTCGCGACCTCTCCGGCCACCCACCCCCATCCGTCTGCGCCGCATTTGCCTGAATTTCCGGACCCTGCTTGGCTATACCCCTCCGGGCGCATCTGCCAGAGACTCGGAGAGGGCGAGACGCAGATCGAGACCGTGAAAAGAGCGAGGGCTTGTTGTCCACCCTGGTCGCCATGGCGTACAATCCAGACGGATACCGGTCAACCCCCAATCCCTACCAGATGGGACATATCTCCCCCGATTCAAAGGACCCTTACGGCCCTCCTCAGCCTCCGTATCCTTCTTATCATGAAACCGAACACCTGAATATGCCCCAGCCGCAGATGCCTCCGCACCCGTCGTCGACGTCGAGCATGGATGGATACGCAGAGTCGCCCCGCGCGGAGAGCACGAATCCGGGCCATATCAACGACGCGGTCAACTCGGCGGTAAGGAACGCAAATACATCGGCCTACCTCTCGCCAGACGTGCTGTCGCAGATCACTGCGACGGTCATCCAGCAGCTCAAGGCCACCGGCCTCGATAGCAGCAATCTCCAGGGATCCGGTCCCCCACCTGTTCGATCGCAATCGCAACAACCACCATATGCTGCGGCGGACGGGGGAGCCCGCCCGCACTCGGAGTCGCCGCCCATTGCTTCGCAGAGAAGCGGGTCGGTGCCTGTAGAGAAGCCCATGTCCCAGAGTTTCGACACCAACCCATACGTCCCGCGTGCTGCCTACGCAGGCGAGCCTCGCACAAACCCCAAACCCTCCCCCGATTCATATTCCACTTCCCGCCGACGCGAGTCCATGTCCAGTCAGGGTAGCCAACACACTCGTCCGAAGCCTCCTGATCGTGACACGACCGTCATGGAGATGACCACGCTGGAGAGAATCTGGGGGAAGCTGTTCGAGGATGGGGAGCCCACCAAGAGGCTTGGTCAGTTCCTGCGTGGCATTGCAATGCACCTGATCGAGGACTACCCGCCCGGCAACACCCTGGTTATCACCACCGCAAAGCTGGAGAAGTTCTACAAGGACACCCATGTACCTGGGGACCCATACCCGTGGCACCGTAAGTCATAATCATCTTCATTTCTAACAATCGCGATCATCAATTCTGAATATTTCTGTTGCCAGTCATATGGGATGACCGCACGTCATCCGTCTCGAGATTGTTCCGTGATCTCAAGATCTCGCACCATCTGGTACAGGAGGATGACTTGGGGGAGCGCCCCGATGTCCCGGGATTGACTCCCAAGGGGTTCGAGAAATGGGCGACCATCCTGATTTTGGCCAACCCGAATCGTGAATACGAGCGGCTGCAAAAGGCCCTCGTGAACATGCCCATCAGCAATCCCGATGACAAGAGGGAGCGCTTCCCCAAGGAGATCCCCCGCCGGCTCTTCCCTGAGACGCCAGACATTGGATTGCGAGAGGAGGCCGAGCAGTACATCATGGAGCGATGCGGTGTTGACTTGCCTCACATCACGGACGAGGAGCGCGAGGAGGCACGACCCAAGACAGCAAGTCGATCCCCAGAGCCAGCGGTCGACTCCAGTGGCCGGGCGCGATCCTACGAGCGAGGCCGACCTCCACCAGCCGCCGCCGCCGCTGCTGCTGCCTCGTCCTCCGCCGTGATCGATGATGACGACCCCACCCCCTTCGTCTCTATCGAGCGTGAGAGAAAGCCCTACAGCGCCCAGCCGGGAGGTGGAAAGAAGTACGAGGATCTACCTCACCACTCTCGCAGCTCCGCGAGCTCTTTCTCCACCGCCAGACCGTCCGACCTCCCCCGGGCGTCAGATATTTCAGGCACCAAACCAGTTCCCCCGTATGACTATGATTCTCGCTACGGCCGAGCTGGCCCCGGACACGGACATGGACATGGACCTTCTTCTCGACGATACTCGCGCAGATCTCGCAGCTCTTCTCGTGGCATGAACCCACCACGAGCCGGCGACTACCGACACTCTGAGGGTGATCTGCTGAACCGCGACAATGTTCCTAGGTACGAAGGAGTGTCAGCAGCGGACTTATACACGGAATCACCGACTTCGATTTTCCCGGATACTGATGACATTAGACATGGACATAGAGATCATCGTGACTCGGCTCGCGGCCCTCGTCCCGATGAATATCATCGCGGAATGTTGGGTGGACATGGAGGTGGACCAGTGCATGAGTACAAAAAGTACTACTAATAGTTCTGTGCTACCGATCTGCGGATTTTTGCTTTGATTTCGGTTGATGTAACCTGGTGGTGTTCATTTTGATTTTTTTTTTTTTTTTTTAATTTTTACTCGGCGTTCATTTCTGGCATGGAGATACCCCTGTTCTCGGGGTTTGATTTGATGTTTGATGATATGAACGAGGTGATGACGTTTCATGTCTAATGTTTGGATACATTTTGCTGGCGCACAAAAGCCATATATTTATGATGAATGTGATGACATGCCAACACCACCCAATTTCCAATGTCGTAAAAAAGGACGATAATCGGAATCGTTGGTAACATGTGCCCTGCTTCAACTGCTCGACCCAGAACCGGAAGCCCCCCTTCGACGCTTAATATCCGCCATAACTCTTGCCCCATTCTCCTTACAAACACCCGCGGCCGAAGCCCTCTTCTTCTCCTCTTTCTCATACCGCCTTTGTATATGCCGCTGATCTTTCTCTTCCTGTTCAGCCCGTCTCTTAAGCCTCCTCTCCGCACGTCTCCTCTCCTCCGCAATCTCGACATGCCCCCGCTCCGCCTCCCTCCGCAACTGCTCAACCTCCTCATCAAGAAGGACCCACGGATCAGAAAGCACCCCCACCAAAAACTGCAGTTTTTCATCAATGAATTTCATCTCGGCATTCGTATCCGGGACCATCGAAAACCGCTCCAGATTCAACTGGAAATCCGACCGGAAGATGCTCAACGTGCCCTTGACTTTGACAATAGCGCCAGGCTGGAGCTGCGAGATATCGATGATTGACCGATCTGTCGCTGAGACGTGGACTGTTTGATTCATGGCTAGGATATCTGGCTTTTCTTCCGAGATATTTTCGGGATTTGATCCCGATGCTATGCCTGAGATGGCAAAGTTGAGCGTCTGCGCGGACTGTCTTGAGTCCTTCTCTTTTGGGTCGGCTTGTAAGACGACGATGTCTAGCGTGGCTCCGCTGCTGTCGTCTATAGTCAGGATCGTCCGCCGGGGGACATCGGTCCTGGCTACGATTACACCTGCCACGGCGATGTAGCTGATTGGGTGGTTCTTGTAAAAGAAGACTTTTTGGCCTGTAAGCTTTGTTAGTCGGAGGTTTTCATTGATCTTTGTATTTATGTTTGTGGAAACGTGCTAGAGATTGGCAAAATGGAATGAGCTAGAGCAGGGTGAATCAACCCGGATGCGCCTACCGAGAGGTAGGCACAGAGAAGGGGGAGAAAAAAGCCATGCAGGACTATCGGGAAGAGCTGGAATTTTCCGTCAAAACACACCTTCAAATCCTTTCGGTCTTTTCAGCCTGTGCACATCAGCTATTGCCATCTTCACCCAGGTGAAATGCGTTGGCGACGCCTTGAAGCAGAACGCGGGGTAGAAGACAAGGTCTGCATCGGTAGCCGTCTCCATAAGTTCATCTTTCCGCTGAGCTCAAGATCGCGAGTTGCGCGAGAAGGTGGAACGTGAGATGAGATGCGCCGTGTCCAGTGTTGGCTTTGAAATACGGAAGTTACAACCTGGTCACGTGAGCTGTAATAGGCATGGCGAAAGTCGGGGTGCAGGACAATACCATTGTCTTTTTTTTAGCATCATAACCATGACCAATATTCACCGAGGGCTTGTCTGCGCAATTAAGACGTATCAGTTGAATGTTATGTAGCTCTGGTGTTCTCTTTGTAATCACTGTGGCGTTTTAGGGGCTAAATCGAAGACCCCTGCACAAATGCTGGTGCTCCCTCTCGCCTTTTGCTAGGAGGCGCTAGAGTAGGCTAGGCTAGAAGCTTGGCTAGCCTACTTCATATACTACTACACTGTATGCAAAAGTCACCGTGTAATTAAGATGACTCTGCTAATAGCTGCCAGGATGACAATTCTTCATTGAATTATTGCTTTGACCGCACTCTAATATATAATTGTTTCCCCCTCCATCATCCGCTTCTTCGGATTCCGGGGTTGTTGGTTTAGCCTCTGCCTCTCCTCTTCACTGATCTGATCAGCATTCGTCTCCAATTTTCCCAAAGCATTCTTGACTTCCTCCTCCGGGTTCTCATGCCCCGCCACAGCGACGCTCAAGATCTCCTTCTCCAGACCAGGTACATGCTCCCACTCAATACCCGCAGCAGAAAGCATTTTACAGCCCTCCGACTCTCCAACAAAAGTCCCCGGCTCCTTAACGCCGAAATAGACCTTGTGAATTCCCTCTCGACCTCCGTCCCGAGTCTTTGTGATCCGCTGCACACAAGGCGCATTGCCTGACAGCCGCTTCCCGCAAGGCTCCATGGAGACATACATGACGAGCTTGCGCCCCGGCTCGACAGGCAGCGCACCGGCTACTTGGTCGTCGGCAACCTTGTGTACGGCGGCATAGTTCGCGAAGCAGCATTGTTCGGCGTGGGTGTTGCCCGCTAGCTCCATGGTGTACCCTGTCGAAAGGATGCGGTCGTCTGAAAAGGTGATATCTCCGTCTTTCCGAGAAAGGAGGATAGCGCCGACGCGGAAATTCGTTGGTCGGGGAGGGGACTTTTCAGCGAGTTCGATGCATTTCTGCATGAAGGGTGTGTGAGGGGAATTGTTCGTCATTGTGGTGTGGGTGGGTGGCGGTGTCACTAGCCCGTCGAACGATGTGGTAGTCGGTAACAAAACGCTTGCGAGAAGTAAATTGAGATATATAGACACGGTCGCAGGTAGCTGGCAAGGAGTTGCAAGCTTTAAGAAAGTTGGGGAAGCTGAAGACAACCTTAGGATGGAGCTCCAAGGAAAGCGGGGAACTGCAGCAGAACCGACCGATGACGGAATGACGGCGCGTCGAGACCGCGACCCACGCGTAAATCAGCCGCCTGTCAACTTTTCGCGCTGGGTCATCATCAGACTGAAAACGCCGTCAATCTCCAGTAGCTGCAAGCCGGAAACATCAGATAAATCTTTTACGACCCACAATGGCGAAAGGATCAAAGCCCAAGTCCGACCAGGTCGCCGACGAGCAACCGCCCTCTGTCGAGGAAGATTTGTACCAGATCCTCGGCGTGCAGTCCGATGCGACACTCGAGACGATCAAGACTGCCTACAAGAAGAATGCCTTGAAGCACCATCCTGGTAAGTATTTCCAGCACACTGATCTGCGGGAATTGCTTTCAGATGATCTGACACACGGATAACAGACAAGGTGGGCGAGGATGCTCGCGACGAAGCCCACGCCAAGTTCCAGAAGATCGCTTTAGCCTACGCCGTCCTGTCCGACAAACGCCGCCGCAATATGTATGATCGCACTGGCAGCACCGACGAGGTGCTCGGAGAAGATGGCGACTTTGACTGGATGGACTTTTACCGCGAGCAGTTGTCGGCGATGCTGGACACGCGCGCTGTCTCCGACTTCCAAAAGAAATACCAGGGCTCCGATGAAGAGAAGAAGGATCTTTTGGCGGCGTATGAGGCAAATGAGGGGGATCTGGATGGCATCTACGAGTCCGTCATGCTTTCCAACGTTCTGGACGACGACGAGCGCTTCCGCGCCATCATCGATCAAGCCATTGTCGACGGAGAAGTGAAGGAATACGCGCAGTACACTGAGGAGTCGGAGGACAAGCGCCAGAAACGAGTCAAGCGTGCTCAGAAGGAGGCGAGGGAGGCGGAAAAGCTGTCGAAGAAGCTGGAGAACGACAAGAAGAAGAAGGCCGCGAAGGCCTCCAAGGCTTCTGCCGGGAACGAAGATGATCTGCTGGCGCTGATTAACAAGCGACAGCAACAACGGGGCCAGGGGTTTCTTGCCCACATTGAGGAAAAGTACGGCCAACCTAATGGCAAGAAGCGTGGACCCCCTGACGAGCCATCCGAGGAGGCCTTTGCTGCTGTTGGAGCTCGCAAATCGAAGGATGGAAAGTCCAAGTCGAAGAAGGCCAAAGCTTAGTGTGAAGGAAGATTTGTGTCTGAGCTTTTCTACCACGATCTGAATGCTTTTTCATTGAGCGTTTTCTAAATTCTTGGGAGCCGGGCGTTTTGTTTATGATTGCATCTTGTGTCTGGTAGTGAACTGCCTGCTAGGGGTAGCTACAGTTGATATGGTAATTCTGTATGCATTATTGATTGGGCGAATACAAATTGGTAGGATCTACTCCAATTTGTAGTACCACAGTAGGTATCCATGACTTGCATTGTATTTAAAATGCGGTCTCGAATTTCTGAGTCGATCTATCTTGATTGCATTTTCGATCGGGCCTGGCGAGGCAGGCGCCATGCAGGTCCGCCTCACAGTGAAGCCTCTTGGGCACTTTCCCCTCAGGCAGCCCGCACAGCTACCCCAGGCCCCTTCCCTCGACTCTCGACGGTCAAGTTCGCTCTCCCCAGTTCTCGACTTCTCAATTTCTAGTCTCCCCCAATTCCTCAATGCTTCATTCTTCAACAGCCTCCGCGCCCCTCAAATTTCGGTTTCTGCCGCCACGACAAGAACAGCCTGCACGTATCTGCAGTCTCCGTGTCCTGGAGCTCTTCTGTTGCTACTGCGTCTGCAAGGATTCCCAGGGCGATCCGCTCCACATTCCGCTAAGCAGCGACGAGCCGCGGATCTCGTTGGCTCAGCGCGCGCCGGTTCCCCACAGCAGGTCGAGCCCGCCGGAGACGGCACGCACGCGATGTCGTACCACTCTCAGGCTGTTCGCATCTCTCCTTCAACTCCCGAGACATCGTTGCAAGAACAATCCCCTACTGCGCAGCCTGCCGTCTCGCCCGACCCCGCTTCGACCACCAAGAATCCCAAATCTTCGGGCATTGGCCGCGCCGTTCAAAGCCTGCTGAGCACCCCGCAGTCTGCAAGGAGTGCGGGCACTCGAGCTGGTGGGGCTGCCTTGCCATCACGAGGAAGACCCTTTCGCAATACCGCCGAACCCCTCAAATCCTCCCCATTGCGCAACATGGCGTCTGCGCCCAGCTCCCCCGAGAGGCCGTCTGTCGACACCGACGAGCTTCCTCGGAGATCATCAGACCAATTCACTAGGACAACAGACCTCGGCGCATCGACGGCACATGTGGAGGGCCTCGAGGATGCCTCTAGATCCGACATGTCTCTACCGTCCGAGCAAATTGCCTCCAAGAAACGGGAGAAGCCACAAGGTCGGAAGGGGATGGCGGCAATGATGTCAGGATTGGAATCAAGACTATTTCCCCGGAGCTTCTCCCGTGGTAGAGACTCCAGCCGGGGTTCAAGCCGGCGTGGTTCATCGTTGGATTCCAGATCGCCCTCGTCCGCCTCCCAATTCGGTCGATCGGTCTCCCCCGGTAGCCGCCAATTCGACTCTGCCTCGAAGCCCACACTCGCCGACACAGAAAGGGGCAAGGTGATCAAAATGGACAATGCCCACAACCAATCCGACGAGGCTTTGGCCAAGCCCTCTGGCAGACTCCCAGACTACGTGAAGCCATCGAATCAGGAGGAATCTGGTGAACGACTGGCCAAGGATGTTTTCGACCGAGACAAGAACATTATTGAAAGCAGTGAGGAGGATGGCGATGAATCCTCCAGTGACGATGAAAAACTGTCACATGCGCGGGGCCGGAAGAAGAAGGGCTCCGATATCACCAGAATCACACCCAGCGACTTTAACAAGCCCAGAGACGACAAATCTCATTTCCCAGAAGAGAGTATGCAAACCAGGCGTCGACTTTGTCGTGACACGAACCATTTGAGGAAGAAGGGACTAATCTTTAATGCAGCCAAATCCACCGCCAAGCCCAACATCCCTGGCATGGAAAAAAGGCCCAGGAAGTCGGCTTTGAAAGCCGTCATTCACCCTCGGACAAGTTATGATATACCAACCCCATACACACAGTCAGCAGCCGGTACGCCCTATGGATCAGAAGATGAGGCTGAAAAGGAGGACGTTCACCGCGCACAAAAGCTCAGCATCTCCATGTCTGCCATCGACAATCGAGTCCCCAACCGATCTATCCGCACCATTGTTCGCGGAGATTTTGCCAGTCTACAGGAAGAAGCCGACGGCGGTCGACGTCGCCAGCGCAAGTATCTTGTGGCAACTGATCTGAGCGAAGAGTCGGTGTATGCCCTGGAATGGACTATCGGTGCTGTTCTTCGAGAGGGCGATACGATGTACGCCATTTTCACCATTCACGAGGATGCAAACCCGTCATCTGTACAAGTAGGAGAAGGGGCAAAAGCCATGCAGGATGCTGCCGTGGTTGTTGGTTCTCAGACTAGAGAAGCCTCTCAGAATCCTGGCACTGGATCCCGCACGATCCTCGGTCGACTGGGTCCGGGAACTGCCAGCAAGGCGGGCTCCGTTGATTCCCGGGCGTCTTCGATGGCGGAATCGGAGAGAGTTCGGGCTGTTGAGAATGTCTCAGAGACTTGCGTGAAGCTCCTGCGCAAGACTCTATTGCAAGTTCGTATTGCCGTGGAGGTCATCCACTGCAAGAGTCCAAAGCTTATGATTACGGAAGCTGTGAGTAACTTTGAACCATTCCCTTTCCTTTTCCATACTAAGTCCTGTCCTAGATTGATGAATTAGAGCCTACCATGGTGATTGTGGGCGCCCGTGGCCAAAGTGCATTGAAAGGGTAAGCATAAACATTCTTTTCTGGCAATTGCACGTCATGCCAGAGCTGACCTCTAATCGCAGTGTTCTTCTGGGCTCCTTCTCCAACTACCTTCTTCAGAACTCCTCCGTCCCCGTCATGGTTGCACGTCGCAAGCTCAAGCGACATCCTGTTAAGGGGCGGATCAACAGCGCAAACGTGCACCTTTCCAACAATCTCCGAGCTCCCAAGAGTCTCACGCAAGCCAACGTGGACTGAATGTAGCTTGTCCTACCTTTCGTGATCATCTTTCCTGCACCCTTTTAAAATAGGGCGACACCTGCTTTTTTGGACACATGGAGGAGCGCCAATATTCTTAGACTACTGCTCTGATTCCTCTTTAACTATTTCGATACCCCGAACTCATGAATGAATGATCTTTGCACTCTTAGTACGAGTCCTTTTTCAAATAGCCAAAGTAACAGTAGAAACAATTTGAGGCAAGTTGAGCTATTTCCGAGCACATGTCAGTCATGATACTGGTAATCTTTCTTTTGTGAAAAGAGCCATTCTATTTCCTATTTATCTCTTATGTGCAAATTCTTAATATCATGTCGTATATAACATTAGATCTTGTTCTTCAGCGGCTGCTGAGCCAGGAATCGCCGCAAGTTATCCGCGATCAACTCGGTCGAGCCCTCCGGCCGTCCACCCGCAGCGTGAGGCGAGATCACCACATTGGGCGCCTTCCACAACCGGCTGTTTTCTGGCAGAGGCTCAGTGTGGAAGACATCCAACGCCGCACCGGCAATCTCGCCCTTCTCCAAAGAGTTCACCAACGCATCCTCATCCACTGAGATTCCGCGACCGACATTCACAACCCACGAGTGCTTGGGGAGCAGCTTAAGCCGTTCGGCATTCAGCGCGTTCTGGGTGGAAGCGGAGCCGGGAAGAATCATCACCAACGCATCAGTCTCCGGCAGGAGCTCATTCAGCTTATCCTCTCCAAAGACCTCAACTCCATTCCGCACTCCCGCACTCCGCGCAATTCCCTTAACCTGGGCGCCGAGAAGAGTCAGGTGCGGAGCCAGCGTCTTCGCAATACTACCGAAGCCCCAGATGAGCACGCGCGAATTGCGCAGGGTGGTGAAGTCGCTCCGCGGGAACGAGCCGCCGAGGTGCCCCGGCCACTTGGACTGGAGCTGGTAGTCGCGCATCTCGAAGAAGCGACGGGCGCCGCAGAGGAGGAGGCCCAGGGCGTGCTCGGCAACCGGGTGGTCGTGCAGACCCACGCCGGTGGTAACAGTGATCTTGGAGGCGTCGAAGCCGGCGCCCAGGACGTCATTGGGGCCGGCGGCGAGCGATTGGATCCATTTCAGGTTCTTCAGGCGCTGTGCGGCGTCTTTCAGGTTGGAGGCGGCGTTGGACCAGGTGACGAGGATGTCGGCGTCGACGTGCTCTTCGGGAATCGGTGCCTTGACATCATATGGGTGCAGCGAGACGGAGAAGCCTTGCAGGCTCTGGACGTCGAGCGGGACGGAGGTTGGGTACAGGAGCTTCATGGTGATGGGCGATGAGGTGGATGCCAAATTGAAGGGTCGCAAGGATGAATTGGAGGAACTGCAGTGCTCGCGAAAGACGTGAGAACTTGAACCGGTCACCCCGTCCCCCGCTATCCCCCGCCGATCTCCACCGCGGGCAGACACCGTGGGATGGCCGTTGCCTCGGAGCAAGGCCGACGGGAAATGAGAAGAGCGGCAAAGCAATCGTGTCCTCAGCATAATTCAGGTTGGAGAAGATAGGGAATAGCTGCGAGGAATTATTCCGGCTATTTTCAAGGTCAAGATCGCCCAATCACCAACTGCAACTGCGACCAGTGGTGACTTTCCCTTTGCGTTTGTCGGGTATTGAAGAGCCGCCCCCACGCTCGCTACTAACTATACGAACGGAGAGCTTCAATTTCTGGGACTTCTTGAGAGGCCCAATAAGTGATGAGCTGTCATATTGCGAAACATGAGATTCTAGTGATTAGGTTGGGACCTCCGTCGAGAACCCATTTCGTTGCAAATGAGTCTTTTCCAATACCGCATGGGGAGACACAAGGATCACCAAAAAGAACAATTGACGATAGTCGGGAATCTCGAACTGTGAAACTGATCTTAATTTACATATTTAAAATTTCGAAGATGAGAGCGATATCAAAAACATCTATCATGGCAAGGCGATAGTTGCATACATGTTCTCGGTGGGTGTCCTAGATACTTCTAGTACTATTCTAGTGCCCCCACGCTGGGTTGAGGCTTATTGCCCGTTCCCCTCATTGCTGACATGCTGACATACAAGATAGAAGCTCTGTTCAATGCTTGACAGCGACCTTGCCACCTTTCTACTCCAAAACACCCCCCGCGATCCCATACAGCAACAATGGCTGAGCAGCACGTTTCTTTCAAAACTGAAGATCTTTTCTCTGTCAAGGGAAAGGTCGTGGTCGTCACCGGAGGTGGTTCTGGCCTCGGCAAAGCAATCGCCGAGGGATTCGCTGTGAATGGTGCGAACGTCTACATTTCCGGAAGAAGAAAGGAAATGCTCGATATCGCTGCGAAAGAGATCGGAGGAGACATTCACGTGTGAGCTCCTCTACCTCTTCATTTCTCAACGCAACTCAAACTGACATGCATCAAATCTAGTGTCCAGGGTGATGTATCGACCAAGACAGGATGTCAGGATCTCGTCAAAGCCATTTCCGCCAGAGAATCTCATGTCGATACTCTCATCAACTGTGCCGGTATCAATCGTCCCTGGAAATTTCAAATCACTGATCACAACGATCGTAAGCTTGTGCCACTGACACCTCGAGAGGTAATGACGATTAACTTACATCGTTGTAGCGGATCAAGTCGAGGATCTTTTGATCAATGGAGTTGAGGAGTGAGTTGCGATGCCCTCATACTATTTGAACAAGTTGGACGGCTCCTTAGGGGCTACTTACAAAGAACAGAGAAGATTTCAATCAAAGCAATCAGAGTCAGCTGCCCTGCCTGTCTTCGATTCTATGAATTTTATGCTGACAGGATAATAGTCAACGTTAATGGGATCTACTTCCTCACCGTCAACTTCATTCCACTCCTTCGAAAATCAGACGATCCCAATGTCTGCGTTATTTCTTCTCTGGCAGCCCTCGGAGCCCAGAGGTAAGAATGCCACTCTTCAAACAGAATTGGCAGTATCGATAGTTAACTGGTGATAGATCAATGGGGTCGTTGACGTACGCTGTTTCGAAGGCTGCAGGTAAAGCTCCACTCGTTCTTACATGAGATGAAGAGGAGAGCATTGTCTGACCTCATCTCTGCGAAGCTGTTCATCTAGCCAAAGTTCTCGCTGGCCGTTTTCATCCGTGAGTCATCCATAAAGTCCCAACTGAACAGAGAAAAGCTAAAACCCTTTGAACATCAGCATGAAAATTCGAGTCAATACTATTTGTCCCGGCGTTTTCCCGTCTGAGATGACGGGTACCACCACCGGCAAACATGAGTATGCTATTAACCACCAAGCTGAAAAGGCCGCGAAGCGCTGTACCGCCGGGCGTGCTGGTCGTCCCGAGGAGATTGTTGGACCGGTGCTTCTACTGTCCAGTCCGGGTGGTGGATACATGAACAATGCACTCCTCACAGTTGATGGCGGTCGCTTGATGGGCATTTCAATCCATGATGGTATTCGGATGCCGGAAGATACTTACACGTATGTGCTTCTTTAAAATTTCTTGGCATCAGCACATACTCATAACTACATTGAGCAGATTCTAGGTTGAGCGAATGAAAAGCTGACGAAGGAAATTCAGCTTGGAAGGGATAAAGCCATGGAATATTTCCTTGGAGGATACAGATCATGGCACTGCTCTATTCGGAGCTTCTCGCACTTCCACACAGTCCTTGTTACAATGATTATCCTTAAACCGCACGTCGACCAGCCTTGGCCTACTTTGAGTCCTGGTGGGACCTACTCCCTTTGTTTATTTTCTTTGGATGCTCGGTTTCAATTCATCGCGGAGGGAATAAAGCCAATGCGATACCCAAAGTTCCCTCTTTGTTTTCCAAGGCATTATTCTATATATGTACCTTTCTTTTAGAGACTCGACGACTCGGGATATGAAACAAAGGGCCTTTACCAGCGTATAAGTCTTTTCACAAGACCACTTTTCAATACGATTTGTGATGTTTCCTGTTTTTCTGCTCCATCATCAAATCTTCATGCATATCGAGGCTTCACTGAACCACCTTCACATCCTCATCCGCGGCCATCTGAGCCATCCAAAATGAACATGAGATTACTCGCCTCATGGCACTTGATTGTGCTACTAATTTCTTGTCACAGCGCCAAGGGCGATTGGCATGTGAACGTGGACCAGTGGAACAAAGTCCGACCATCAAGAGACAACATCAAAACCATACCAGATGCAACTCAGAATAAATCCAGCGACTGGACTTTAGATATTCGATATCCACACCCACAAAGCCCTCGGACACCTGATTTCTGGAGCGACCTACCAGTGCGCGATGATATCCGGTTTCATATTGAGCAAACATGTACTCAATCATTGTCCTCCTGCAATTTCATTCTGCCAGAGGTCGCCACCGTTATCCCTGAGGCCTTGAATAACGTGTTCAAGTACCTCTATACACCTCCTGCACCGGGGCACTATCACCGCGGCGGCCCCAGGGAAATCAGAAACTCCTTCACTCCCGCGCCCCCTGAAATCAATTCCATCACAATCTCCATCGACAACTCCGTCGTCGAAAGAGGCGGGGAAAGAGTAGCAGGCTATACTGAGCCGGCTGAACCGTCCTCTTCACATCGAAAGTTGCACCTTAAACTCGACTGGTTCCAACAAAGTCTCATTGATCCGAAGTCGTGGCAGAGCCGAAGGTTGCTGCGAGCTGTTCTGGCACAGATCCTCACGCATGAACTGACACATGTCTACCAACACAAGCTTCCTGCGTCGAGCTACGGGATTATACGAGTTAAAAAGGCAAAACCTCTGCCGAAAGGGTTAGCGGAGGGCATTGCCACGTTTGTCACGCTCAAATCCGACCTGAAATGGCAAGGCTATCAAAGACCCAAGTCTAAAAACGAACTTCCAGCCCGGTGGGATTATGGATATCAACATACGGCTTTCTTCCTTCTATGGCTCGAGGAGTTCAAGGCCGGGGAGGGTGCTGTGGCAGTCTTGAACGATTTGGTCCTGAGAGACTACTACTGGGGTGAATATGGGAACGAGGACGGCGGCACTAGATTCTGGATCGAGCTTTTTGGAGCCAGCCCGGAGGTCCTTTGGGCTGAGTACATCCACTATGTGGAGAAACATTGCTCGAGCCACGGAAAGGTCAGGTACCTGGGGAGGGGCTTATTCGACTGGTCTCGATACGACATTTCGGCTAGGAAAATATTCGGCTTGCTCAAGGGCAGTCTGAAAGAGTCTGTATCCTATGCAACTCCGCTTTTTCAATTCCTCAATTGGAAATTCTTCATCAATACCTGCTGGCAGGCGTTTTGGTTCGCGGGGGCCAATTACTACATCCTGCAACTTGTGGCCTTTTTCAAATACGTTGGCCACTTCTTCACCTATATCAAGTATTACGTCCAAGGTCTTTGGGATATTCGCCCACTGAATTCGCAAACATTGTCCAATGGCTTGCTTTTGTGCCGCAAAATACTGTTTGCCATTGGTGGATTCTTAAAGAATGCCCTCCGGGTTTTGAATCTAGGTCTACGCATCTTGATAAACATAGCGACTAAGCTTGGGTGTTCTGTTTTTATTCTATGGGTATTGTCAAAATGGTGTCGCGCATTCTTTTGGCCCTTTTTCACCAGTTCTGAAGAGCCTGGCTCTCCATTGCCTCGCCAACAATATCGACCTCATCTCCATCAGCCTGAGGTTGAGCCTCAGACTCGACCCCAACACCGACGCCCATCGTCTTCAGCTCAACCCCCACCACGAGTCAACAAGGCTTCTTTTATTCATCGAGACCCTTCCCCCCTGCTCCTCCTTCACCTCCCTCGCCACCTCCACCTGCGCCCCTGGCGCCGTCCATACCCAACAACCGGCCCTCAAGCAGTCAAGTGAACCAGGGAGCCCAACCCAAACCGGCAGCATCATCTCAGCGAGCTGCCATCGAAGAGCAAGAGGAAGGAAGCGTCGAAAGGATTCTTAGATCCCGACTGTACGGGAAAAAGCTCAAGTACCGTGTGAAGTGGCTGGGATATAAAGGGGAAGATCCCAAATGGTACGATGCAAGCTCACTCCGGGATCAGCCTCGAAAGATTCGAGATTTCCACTCTTTGAATCCTTCACAGCCTGGACCCCCGGTGCGATTGGCAGTTTGGCTTGAGGCTTGTCGGAGGGGAGAAATGGCCAAGGCTCATGTTGATGATAATCGCGCAGCTCCTTTTTTAGACTGATGGGGGCGAGACAATACTAAACGAAGCGTATTGTTTGGCTGTCAATGACGTGTGTGGATATAATAATTTTGCTTTGGATTGTTGCTTTGTGTTATAGATCTTATTCGAATTAGCCACTTGTTTATAACATACTCACTTGAGTGGTGCCTTTCAGTAATAAGAGAATCTGTAGCAGGGCATTGCATCTCTGATCGTGTTCACAACCATGTGTAGACAGCCGCTTGAGCTAAGGAATCAATGATCACTACGATCTGGGAAGAAAAGTGAAGTCAAGGATATCATTCGTTTAATGTGAAATTCATATGAACATAAACATGGCCCATAAAAGAAACGCTTTTTTAAAGCACCGTGCGTACAAAACATCTAACATCTGACACTCGTTTCATTAGTGAAAGACAGAAGGAGGGTCGAATGTGCTATGCACAGTCTATGGCGAAAGGGAAGGATCTTATGTACCAAATATAAACCCAGCTAGGTGAATTCTTGAGGAATCCATTAGAAGCGAAGGTCCCAGCCGATCTTAGGGCCCAGGCGAGGCAGCTCATCAGCAACGCTCTGGACATCCTTGTCACCACGTCCGCTCAGGTTGAGGACGACGTTCTCGCCCTTCTTCATCGACTTGGCGAGCTGCATGACACCGTAAACAGCGTGGGAAGACTCGAGGGCGGGAATGATACCCTCGTGCTGGGCAAGGGCGCGGAAACCGGACAGAGCCTGAGCATCGTCGGCGGCAATGAAGGTTGCGCGGTTGGAATCCTTCCAGGCGCTCAGCTCGGGGCCGACACCGGGGTAGTCAAGACCGGCGGAGATGGAGTGGGTCTCGGAGATTTGACCGTGCTCGTTCTGCAGAACGTAGGTACGGACACCGTGGAGGACACCCTTGGAGCCTCCAGAGAGAGTAGCGGAGTGACGAGCGGTATCGACACCATCACCTCCAGCCTCAACACCGACCAACCTCACGCTTGGGTCGTTGGAGAAGGGGTAGAACATGCCGACAGCATTGCTGCCACCACCAACGCAAGCAACAACAGCATCGGGGAGCTTGCCAATCTCAGCGCGCATCTGCTCCTTAGTCTCGTCACCAATGACGGACTGGAAGGTACGGACGATGGTAGGGAAGGGGTGGGGGCCGATGGCAGAGCCGATAATGTAGTGGGTGGTGTCGAGCTCCACGACCCAGGCACGAAGAGCCTCGTTAACGGCGTCACGTAGAGTACGGCTACCGGCGTCAACCGCGACAACCGAGGCACCCAGAAGCTTCATACGAAAGACGTTAAGAGCCTGGCGACGCACATCCTCAGCACCCATGTAGACAGTGCACTTCATGCCGAACTTGGCACAGACGGTGGCAGTCGCAACACCGTGCTGGCCAGCACCAGTCTCGGCAATGATACGGGTCTTGCCCAGACGACGTGCGATAAGGATCTGACCAAGAGCGTTATTGATCTTGTGGCTACCAGTGTGGTTCAAATCCTCACGCTTGAGCCAGATGTTAGCACCACCGACGTGCTCGGTCAGGCGCTGAGCCAGATGGAGACTGCTAGGTCGGCCCATGTAGGGGTAGTAAGAGCGGAACTCTTCCCAGAACTTGGGGTCGTTACGGGCCTGGTCGAAGCCGCGCTCGAGCTCGGCCAAGCAGTCCATCAGAGACTCGGGGACGTACTGACCACCGAATTCACCGAAGCGGGACGGCTGGGCAGAGGGGTCCTTGGTCACGTTCAGAGCCTCCAGCTGGTCACCAAGACCAGGGCCGGAGGGTGTATCAGCCTCAGTGATGACCTTGGTGGCCTGGGTCTCGCCAGAGGGAAGAGCCTTCTCAATGGCCTCAAGCACCTTGACCTCGCGGGTCAGAACACCCTGCTCGTCACGCTCCAGGCGGCGGCCGGTGACGCTGGAAAGGTACTCTTCAGCGGCCTTGGCGGCCTGACCAGCAGGAGCCTGGCCAACAACGGTGATGATCTGGCTACCAATAACACAGCCCTCAGCAGCCTCCTGGACGGAGAGGAAGTGCTCACGGGTGCTGACACCGAAACCAAGGGCGGCGGGGACATTGCCGGAGTATTCGTGGACACGGGCGAGGAGTTCGGGGACGTTGGCGCTGAGCTTGCCGGTGGCACCAGTAACACCCATGCGGGAAACAACGTAGATGAAGGAATCGGCGATCTTGCAGAGGAGCTTCATGCGGGAGTCGGAGGTGGCAGGGGCGATGAGAGGAACGTACGACAGTCTAGAAAGAGGGTATTAGCATAGACAATCGCATTCCACATTCGAGACCACACATACCCATTGCTGGAGCAAAGATCACGGAAGCGAACGGCCTCCTCGGGGGGCAGGTCAACCATAATGAAACCATTAACACCGGCCTCCTTGCAGTCCTTAAGCATGCGCTCGTCACCGTAACGCAGAACGGGGTTGTAGTAGCCCATGAGCATAATGGGGGTCTTCAGACCACGACGACGGGCAGTGCGGACCATCTCCAGCACGGATGTGACAGTAACGCCATTCTCGAGGGCCTTGGTGTTGGCCTTTTGGATAGTGGGACCGTCGGCAATAGGATCGGTGAAGGGAATACCGAGCTCAATGATATCTATTTCGCGAATCGACGTCTCAGTTCACAATGATCAATAACCCCGCCACTTGGTGCTTGCTGAACTTACCCGCACCACCATTCTCGAGACCCAGCAGAATATCAACAGCCTCTCCAACAGTCGGGTAACCAGCGGTAATGTAGGCCACCAGGGCTGCTCGCTTCTGCTCCTTGCACTTGGCAAAGGTCTGCTTAATATGCTCCATTTTGCGGATATGCAGGGGCAACGCGGGGCAAAAAAGAATGTTCAAATGAAAAGTTTAAGATGTAGGGTCAATTGGGGCCGAAGGAGACACAGGCAAAAGGTGAAACGGCTTCCGTGCGACCCGAGAACTTTTTGCAAGCGAATGCAGACGGACAATGAAGCGAGGTTAAAGTCGAGTGCCGGATGAGTCAATCAAACCTGGCCCTTTTTCGCCGATTTCGCCCCGCAAGTCACGTGCTTTCGATAAGATAGCGCTGAGTCATTCACCGGGGATTCGGGGATTCTTTTGCTGAACTACTAATGCGGAGGCGGGGGACTAAGAGAACCAAAACGGAGGAAGAAATCGTGGAAAATGAATTAAAGAATCAACTTCAGACAGAGGAAGAACTGATGGAACTTGGATTTATTGAGGTGCTTGATCAGTCTATATCCATGGTCGGAGTAACCAACTTCGGACTGTACTGGAATCTTTGAACTATTACACCTGACGTGCCAGAGTGGCCGGGAAAGCCTTAAGAGATTTCGCTCGCAGGGGTACTGCTAGCTGCCGGTACTACAAGTTCGTGAAGAAAATTGGAGATCGGGAATTAAATCAGTTGAAACTAGATCGAAAAAAAAAATCAAGATACACAAAAGGCGCCGAAGCAGCCCAACTCTTCCCAAACGCCACAACAATGCAATCAGAAACAAGACAGCCCTCAGCTCAAAACAAAAATATTAGTCAAAACTCCCAATAAGTTCCAAGCAGGGGAAAATAGCCTCCAAGAAGATCTCGAGTGAGGAAACTCTTCCTCGAGGACTCCATCCCCGATGCGCCAAGAGGAAAACAAGGACCAGCCCCCAGCTGGTCGGTTCGCCTCCAATTCCCAATATCCGAAATCTATCCCAAAATCCGTCCTGCGAATGCATAAAGGAATGACTGCAGCGCCCAATGCTATGCCAAAATACTCGTACAGTAGCCCAGATGTGTAAGTTGTAAGGAGAGGAAAGCCCAAAATGCCCGGCAAGTGGAGGATGCAAACCCAGGAATAAGGAATGAACAAGACACCGTCTAATAAAAAAATGCAAAAACAGGTCTCAGACCGTGTGTCAAAAATAATGCAAAAAGGTCGGGTCAGGGGCATTCAGGCGTAAAATGTGGTAAGGAGAGACGTCAAATCGTAAGTAGGTGACGGTGGGAACCAACAGCCAAGATAGAGGACAAGTCCTCCGGCCCGGCGTTTGGCCCCGCGTCAACTCTGGGCATGGTAATAAGGAGTGACAGGAAAGAAAATCGTGTATCAACGGAGCAAGAGGGGAAATATAAAAATAGAAAGATAAAAAGCAAAAAAAGCAAAAAAAGAGTAGATGACGAATGCTAGTCACCGATGCTCATTGGCCGTGTGCCGAGTCATGCAGCGGGTACACGGGATCCATGTAGGCGTAGCATGCATTAGCTGAAGCTGCGGTGGTAGGAGCACCAGCAGCACCCAGACCATGGATGTCCCATGCCGACCGGGGGCTCGGAGTCACCATTCCATTGGCGTGTTGCGGCTGACAAGGAGCCGGGTAGGGGTAGGCACCAACGGAGCTATATGGCTGGCTGTGGGCAGGAATGACCGATCGAAGATCGGGAGCCGCAGTCAACGAGGCATGCTCAGCCTGGGTGTAAATAGGCGCGCCAAGGGTGTGAGCATAATTGCCCAGACCGGAGTCAGACACTGACTGGGGGGACGCGGCAGTGTGAGGCTCGGTGCCAGAGTCGGACCCCGTACCATGGCTGGTGTAGTTTGTGATCGGTGTCGGCAGAGCGCCTGCGGTGGAGGAGTAGCTAGCAGACTATATGAAAAGCAATGTCAGTAACAGCTCAGACGGTCTTTTTTTGGGGGGGGGGATGGAATTGTAGACTCACATATTTCCCGATGATCTTCTTCAGGGCGTGACTGAGGATCTTCCAGGGGAAGACCTTGACATCCTTCTCGATGTTGCGGGGCTTAGGAGCCGGGAAACCCATAATGACCTTGAAGAAGTCCTCGCTGTCTTGCTTAGCCTTGGAGACAGTCAGAGGACGGAACCCTTCCAGGTTTCGTCGAATGCGGTTCTTTTCTTCGACCGTGAAGCGCACGCCAACCAGCGACTCAAGAAGATAGATGGTGTCCACGCTGGTAACGAAGCACTCATCCTTGCCTTCCCAGCTGATGCAACTGATGCAAATGCTGTTGGGAGATCGCTTCTCGGGAGCCACGGGCTTGAAATCGGCGTGGATTGTGCTTCCAGTCTGAGTGCGAGTGAACTCGACCAGACGGCGCTGAGCGACCACCTCATCTTTGCTCCAGCCCTCGGCCATACCGTCCAAATCCCCATTCAGCTTGAGGACAGCCTTGGTGGGGTAGATGGCATAGGGATTGAAAGTCTGGGACTGACCGAGACCACTGGCCTGCTGCAGGGTGGAGGTGCGGATGAGAGTCGGGTTGGTGGAGCGCATAGGCGAAGGTCCCTTGTGCTGCGCAATACCGTGGGCCACAGCCATCCCAGGATTCCGACCATCACTGGTGACAGACACGAACGAGGGACTCCAGGCAGGGGTGAGAGGCGAAGGGGCCCGGATTGCAGGCTGGGTGGTGGCAGACGCGGTGGAGTACTGGGTACATCCATTGCGAGGAGAGGACGCGGCGTGGAAGGGTGCGACGAAGCCAGTCATCGTGGAGAGAGGCTGTAGGTAAGGCGAGAAGGAGGCGGAGCGGTTATCCCGATAGGAGTAGTTATCTTGCGGCTCGATCTTGGGCATCACATTTCCAGGAGCAGGTCGCTTGGCAGGTGCAGAGATGGGGTTATCTGAGTAGGAAGAGAACTTGCGCTTGCGTGTGTCCGCCGGAGGAGAAGGTTGGGGCACATGCTCGTATGTGTAGACGCCAACCTGCAGAGTTGTCGCCTGGCAGTCTCCCTGGGTCTCCAAGACGACCTGAATAGGCACCGCGAAGGAAGGCGAGCCCGTTGAGATGAAGGAAGGAGCCTCCACTGCGAGCATATATTGGAAAGCATTGTTGCTCTGGAACCCCAGGAAGTGGGGGAGACATTCGCACCGCTTCGAACCGAAGACAAGATAGACCGTGCTATATGTAGAGCTGTGCAGATCAAAAGGCGACTGGATCTGCACCATCACTCGGGTTCCCTCGCAGCCACGCTGAGGGCTATAGGTCGCGACCTCGGGCACAGGGCGAGATCGTGCACCCATCATGGGTGATTGTGCCTCGTCATACGAGCTAGTATACTCGTTGCTGGGCATGTAAGGAACACAATCGGATGCCTGGCTGGCCTGGTCGGCCATTGGCGAAGGCACGAGGGAGGTAGTCACGTATGGGGATTGGCCGTAGGTCGAATATGAGCCAGCATCATGCAAAGAGCGCGTGGAAGCGTAATCTATGGGAGGCTAGAGTCAGTCCCACTCAACTGGGTCTTAGAACAAATCACTCAACAAGATTCACTTACCAAGTACGGCACCAGCAGCGGGCTTCTGGAAGCTAGACATAGACAGAAAGGGCTCAGACTTGGCCCACAGGCCGTCTGAAAACGCACCGACAAACTGTGACTCTTCAGAATCCGAGAAATCCAACGACTCGCCTAGAATGAGAGGCGTTTGGAAATCCGGGTCGAACTGAGCACGAGGGAAGAAACAAGAGTCAGCCGAGGAGGTTCTCGCAGAAACCGGGGGGTGGTCAGGAGGGCGGAGGGTTCAAAATATCAAACAGAAGGCTACGCGGGGATTGGCAGAGAAGAGGCAAAACATGCGGGCATCCAGAAGAGATACGAAGCACCGCGAACGCTGGGGGAAGGAGTGCTCACCAAAACACCGTGTGTCTTCGAGTAAGCCAGCTTGAAGGTGTTGCAGCGACTGCAACAAGACCGAACTCTCTGAAGAAGCGAAAGAGTGGGAATTTATTCTCCCAAACGATAGTACGTCGCCACGCGCGTACACGAGATTAGGGGCTCTCCGAGACAAGAACGAGCGACGGGATGAAAGGTGTTGTCAGTCTCACAGAGTAGTGCCTCGAATCACCATCCAGTATTGGGAGGACGCTAAGGCTGAGACTAGAAGAAGGCTGGCTGCAGCTGGAGACTCAAAGCACGAAATGCTAGTGTCCAAAGGTTCATAAAGCCTTTGGAGCAATGCGAGTCGGTCGTGAGAGGGCGAGATGCAATAGCCACCGCTAGTTGGGGCGACAGGGAAGCCGAGATTGGGAGACGGGAGGCTCTCTGAAAGGGCGATCCAGGAAATTGCCGGCGAGCACGACGCGGACTGGTGAGGTTTTGCTTTCTTTCTTTCTATCCCGAGATGTGTTTCGGGAAAGCTTCAAGCAGATTGGGTACCAACAGACTCTTCTGAAGCGAAGGGGCGAACTACTCCAGTAATGAGTATGAACTCTTTCCGGTTCCGGTTTCTTCCAAAGGGTTGGCTTCTTCGTCCCTGAGGTGATGACAGGGTGGAGGAGAGGGGAAATCGGAGTGGTGCATAAACCAGTAATCGAAAGACTCACCAGATGAATCAAGAGAAAAAATGTGAGACCGATCTGCCGTGGTTGTCTCCTAATATGCAAGTTCCGAGAGGTCCAGAAGAACTATCGACAGAGGTCAGTGTCAATAACAAACAGCTGCTCCCGGGTGATGATGGATACGGGGAAGCTGGTCCGGCGGCTCGAACGACGCTCGTCATCTCCCGACAGTCCGTAGATCAGAGGGCACGACCTCCGGCTGCAAGGAGATGGGACAGGGCCTCCCGAAAGAGGAAAGATGCAAGGCACGAGGGAAGAAGTGAGACCGTGGGCGAAGGGGGAGTGGAGTGCCAACCTTAAGCTGATAGTTGAAGCTCTTTTCTGCACAGTGAGACACGGGAGGGGTGTGCTTTCAGCCGAGACACCAGTAGCAATAACCCAGTAGCGAGAGAATCTGGGGTTTTGTAATGGCAGACGACTCTAGAACAGGTGCATCCAGGATGGAAAAGAATCCAATCAAACAATCGAAATAAAACGAGACGTCAGGTCGATGCGATCCGGATCGACGCTGGATGGATTTCCTCCGGGTGCGGGACAAACGGATGTATGTCTACAGGCACAACGAGGTCGAGATGCGCAAACGACAGGCGATTGTCACTTCAACAATCTCCGACTCCTGCGGGTGATGTCCCCACTCGATGATTTTCTTCCCTGCAGAGTCGATTGTCGCGGGAAATTTGAGAAATCAAGGGTTGCGTCCAGCGAATGGGCGCAAGGTGTTGCGATAATTAATTATTAAGAATATTCGGGATATAACCGGGTGGTTTCCTATTTGGGTCTTTTTTTTCGTTTTTTGCCTTGGAATTTCTTCTCTGGAGATGAGAGGAAATAGAGGAAAAAGACGAATCCACAGGATCTTTTTCGTCAAGTTAAAGATCCGTGCGGGGAGGGTTTTGGGGGGATTCTTGAATTTCCAGTCGAAAAGCAAGGATTCCTAGTCAGGTCAGACGTAGCGAACGTGGTTCTCGTTGCAGCACAAAGCGAGCGTAAGAGCGAACGTGGGTGGTGGTGAGCGAATGTGGAACCTTTCAAGGTGTCATAATAATAACGGGTCTTGGGGGAGGAATCAGAGGAAGGGAGGAGAAGAGAAGAGGGGAGAAGATCACGATCGAAGCAAGGAACCAGAAGGGTTAAAAGCGACGAGGGTGCTAGTCAGTAATCGTATACGATGTGAGTGAATTATTATTAGCACTGTCCGAACAGCCCTGGTCAGTGAGTGCAACTCGGGCCTAAACTGTATAGGGCCGGCGAGCGTGTGGAGTCGCTCCTCCTACGCTTTTACTGTTTTGGCCAAAATCAAATAAAAATAAAAAGTGGACATGGGCCCAAAATAATAATTTTCGCCTTTTCCGTTTTGAAGAGGGGGCTCCACCAGACCCCCCCAGCAGGCTCACGCCGGGCCTAGTGGGCAATCGTGGCGGGGGATGCACATAACAACCGATGTCGAGGGAACCGGGGCGACACTTGGCGGACTCATGGGATTTGCGCAGTTCCGGCGCGAATAGAGCCGTGACACGGTCCAGGGTGTCGGGGACTCAATACATTGAGATTTAGGTATTCATGTTCTCGGCGAGGGCGCAACGGGCATTATTACCTGCCTTGCCCTAGAGTAGGGTATAGTCGGTGCATACACTTTTCCTGCCACCCGGCACCAACCCCCTCTTAACACCAAGGGACATTGGGCATCCCTACGTTGTGTATTTTGTATTTGTACTTTTCTGCAGTACCTTGAGAGTGTATTGTGTGAACACCCCAGTGTTAAGGTAGTGTACGCTGGTACATGCACAGCATGCATTGTACATTGTACATTGTCATGTACAAATCATCCGAGTACAACGTGCGGAGTCGTGTGTCCGAAGCCACTCACCACCGCGGTGGCTTTCCGGCGCGTCCGACCGGGCACATTCTACCTCACCCTTCCGACGACTTTTTGCGATCGATCTGTTAACCTTGGGACTGCCTCAACCCACCCGCCAGAAGAGAAAAAATTAGCAACGCCAATAAGAACCGAAAAAGAGCTCGGGCTCGGAGGAACTCAAATACGATGATACGAAAAGGTTGGTTGCGACTCGGGATCAACACCAATCTGGCGGCCTGCGCCGTGCGAAAAAGTGGAGCCCACGAAAGGTTGAACGGCATGTGGTGAAAAAAAGTGAAGGCTGCGAGCAGGGAACAGAACCACGGACACGTCGACTTGTCTCCCATCCAATGGATGGGCCAAGGGTTACCGGGAGTGACTTCATCATGGCAGGGGGCAGCAGATCGAGGAGCACAGCCTCTGCGGCCAGCACCAGCTTCGTCATAACATACCTAGTACCTACCTGGTAGGTGACCAAGGAAGGCAGAAAAGTGTCGAAGCCAACACGCCAGTCGCATTCGCAGGCCCAATCCGTTCGGACGCCGTCTTCCGATGCCTTCCTCGACGTTATGGCTGCCAATCAGGGCGGGTGCTCCGCGCCGTTCGCTTCTTTCCTCCTCTTCTTCTTCCTGGAGTCGTCGGTATAATTAGCTCCCGCTAACTGATCTCAGCCTGGCTTGCTTCGACACTCCATTACTGTCAGTACTAGGTAAGGTTCTCTCGTACGATCTCCGGTATCCGAGATACACTTGGTACCCGTACTTTCGCATTGACACCCTAACCACACAGGTACTTGTCGACTACACTACTAGTACTACTTTCGAATTGAGTTGACCACATCGAGCCCTTGCGGTGCTTGGCCAACCCCCCGACCCAAGGGTCACCCATTCCGGTTGGAGCTGGGAGCCCCCCTGACGGAGCCCACGAAGACCCTGCTTCTGCCAACCTCTTCTCCAGAGATGCCTGGATCCACCGCGGATCTCCCAGCGCCCCTCGATTGGCTCCCCCTTGTCTCCGGCTCGGCCGACCAGGTCAGTTCCGCATCCTCGTGTGTGTGTGTCATGATTACCTACTTACTAGTACAGGAGTATGTACCGTGACTTGCATCACTCGAGTCGTACTCCACGAGGGGCTCTGCAGAACACAAGGACGAGTACATGCCACTACACGAGATAGAGGCGAGTAGTATACCTCCCCCTAAAATAGCCTGTCCGATTCGATGCGATCGGATGGCCATGCGGCGTCCACATGAGCAGGCGACACAACTTGCCATCGTGGTTTCCTACTGGGTTTCCCACGGGACGAAATGCCCGACCCCAGATCCCATTGGCGGATCAAGGCAATCTCTATACTCCTGTACAGTAGGGTCGTCGAATAAAATACGCAGTCATCTGCCGTACGCAGCGTACGACACAACGGGCAGCTCCCGAGCTAACAATAGCACACCTTGCATCTCACCTGACTTGGTGGCCTGACGATGCAAGGGTACGACCCTCTCATTGGGGGGCTGGGCCGCGCTAGCGAGAATCTGGTATCACCCGTGCCCCACGCCGAGGATCCGTGCGATGCCCCCGTGCTCGTTCTGTACCCTAAGGTAGTATACTCGAAGCTCTCGTGCGTACCGTCCAGTATATTCAGTATAGTATGGATACCATCATACTCTGCACTGCGACCTCGACTGAGGTAAGCGGCTACCCCAGCTGCTATTTCCAGCGCCTCAACCAGTCAGAGAACGCCCTAGCTCAGGGTCCTTCTCCCATCGACCATCCTCGGGGGCTCCCACGACCCTGTCGATCGTGGCGGTTGGCCAACTGCATCTCTCTGCAGCCCCGGCTGATCAGAAGATGCGAATTACCCGATTCCGCGACGCAGCCGTCATCGCCATGGGGAGAGAGAGATAGTCGTGGCGATAATTCGCTGCTCCTCATCTCGCCCTGTCGAAGCTAAATGCCCTCCGCTTACGTGAAGAGGCTCGTCCCCCACTCCCCCAAGGACCAAGATCAGTACAGCATCGTGCAAGGGCCTGAAACATCCGAATGAGGTCATCGCCAGGTAAGGGCACCCTTCAGGCTTTGCGACGTGATGCCCATCGTGCGTAACGGCTCGGCTGCAGGAGACTATCCACCCGATGAGCTGCGTAGCCTGCATATCCATTACATATCCAGTATCCAGCCACCACGATGTCCCAGGATCACCACCTGTGATCCGAGAACAATCGAGGGGAAACGGGAACAGATCTATCCGATCACCTTCCCCTCGAGGGAAGAAGAGCGATGCAAAATTAACCAATCGCGGTGGCACCGCCTCCGCGATTTTGCCACGTTAAAGACATCCGTTGTGGGCACCGTGCTAAACTCGAATGGGTGCTGCTTTGGGGGA